AGCCTTGCTTGCAGTGATGCTGTGTGTGGCCTGGGTCACCTGTCTAGCTGTTGCCCCTGCACCAGTGACATCACAGAGAGCCCTTGTGGGAAGGAGCCCTGAGCAGGCGGAGAGACAGCTGTCTTGAAAGGTTACATCAGGCGCTGCACGCTTGGCTCTCATTGCGTGACAGTGAACGGGCAGGCGGGTACCCGGTGGAGCAGGGAGCAAGCGGCTGTGCGTTGCTGAGGACAGATCGCCTCCATCTGTCCTGTTGCCCCCAGGTGTAATGTAGAAAGATAAACTATTGCCAACCTTAAAATAAAAGTCAATTCCCGGTACCATCAGCTTCTGCGCATGGATTTATCTTTTGCCTCTTGGTCCAGCTCTGTCAAAGAGGTCAAATAAAGAGAAAGCAAGGTTGCCAAGCCTTGGACCCACAGGCCAAAGGCATCTCACTGCGGTCCCTCAGATGATTTACAGACTACACCTGTTTCCCTGGCCCTACCCCTCCTCCTAACCATCAATTGTTTGGGAATTTCTCGGCTTTTGCATGCTTGTTTTTCTCTGCTTTAAAAGGTTAGGGTTTCTCTCTTCAGGCTCCATGACAGGCAGTAAAAGCTTTAAGCCCAAATCAGTCGGTATCTCTGGCCTGCCCCTTTTGCTTTTGGTTCCACCCACCAGTGGATTGCAGCCCCTAAGAAAGCTTGGAATCGAATTACGACTCTCAGACTGAAAGACATTTCCCACTGCTTATGTAAACCAGTTAATGTAAACCTTGTACATAAACGCATGTTCAGCTCTTAAAGGCTTTGCCACTGAGGTATGACATAGAGGTATGAGACAGCCCTGGTCAAAAAGCACAGGCCTAATTTAAACAACCACCAGGAAGGCAAGAACCATGTGGCACTGCATAAACCCAACTGGTTTCCATCTAAACTAACCACATGAGAAAAAGGCCATTATGGAACAGCAGACAATCTTTCTCGCAAATGACCTCCCCCTTGGCCATACTATTAAAGGATCTCCGGTGACTCTTGCCTGTCATGGCCATTATTGGCAGACAAGAAACTGCCTTTTCACTAAGTCAGGCCCTTGGTCCATCTAGCCCATTACTGCCAACACTGACTGGCAGCAGCCCTCCAGGGTCTCAGGGAGGATGCTCTCCTAGATGGGACCGAAACTGAGGCTTTCTGCGTATGAAACACACACTCTGCCACTGAGTCATGGAGCCAACCAACTCTGACACGTGAATTGCTACATAAATGCAAGCTGATTTTAAGTGTTCTTCCATGGAAAAGTCTTGTCTACAAGTCAGAACCACACAAACTCCATATATAAGGGGGAAAAGCACCATCCCAGAATCCCCAGGGGGGAATCCTGGGGATCATGGGGATTGTAGTCCAACACATCTGTAAGGCATTGAGTTGGGGAAGGTTACATTCTGTTCCATCCTTAGTTTCAAGGAATTTTGAATTAATTTTAAAATGGGATATCCCCACATCTGTAGTATAAAAAAATACACTCCACACACCATCTCGTGGTGCTGTGTGACTAGACCAAGCCTAAACCTCTTCAGCTATGGATAAGTACAGGCATGTTCCAACCATACTCAGCACACCTCCATTTCCCCTGCTCCTTTCCAGTAAGGAACACTCAGGCATTACTGAACGAAACATCAAACCCCAAATCATTACAATGTTGCTTTCAGGATTTTCAATACCTGCACGTTCAATACCTACACGTGAGGATTTCCATGTAACTTGCTAGATTGTTTCCGGCATGTCAACTATTAGCTGATTCCATGATGGAGGTGCCTAATTTCTAAGAGGCTTAAGCATATGCAGTGTGCATGCATGCCTATGTACACGCACACTCTGCCATGTTCATTTTGGCTAAAAAAACCTTGCGGTTAGTGAAGCTGGCTTTATAAAAGTGACAATTATCTCTGTGTGTCTTAAAGCACAGGATAGGAGCAGAGGAACCTGAAGTTCCATGTACAAGCATCCCGTCAATCAGCTCTTGAGATTTCACCAAATTATGCCCTGTTACCCCTTAATTGATCACTACAAGCAATAAGGGCTAGAAATTCATTGTCTTAAATATATACGTGCCAAGACTCTTAAATGTTGAGTATTTTTCTCTTTACACAGTGTACCAAATTTAACTCTAGATGGGCACAGACACTCTAAAGCCCCAAGTCGGGTGAGATTCAAAACAATTAGAGTAGCGGGCCCAGGACTGGAGTTAGATTTGGGTTTGACTCTCCACTTACCCAGAAAATATAGCGAGTGATGTGGAGCCAGTTTTATGCATTGTCTTTGTCTGCCCAACCTTTCCTCTCAGGTCTGCTGTGAGAATTAAATGGAAGGGAGAGTCACAGATCTCATCCTGACCTCATTGAAGGAAATGCAGGATTAAACTAAAGAAATATATTTGCAGGGCTGGCCTTCTCCTGCATTCATCAAGGCCTTTTGAGCTGGTATAGAACTGAGGCTAAACATCCAACCCTGTGAACCAGTTCCAATTTGGTCTCTCCCATGAATTTATTAGGTCACCTTAGGCAATCCTATTCCCTCTCAGCTTCAGCTGCCACCACCCTTCTGCAATACAGCCTGACAGACCCATCGGAAACATTATTATGGTATGGTCTTCAGCCGCAGAGGAACGAGATGGTCAAACCAACTGTGCTACTTCAGTCTGCATATAAGTGGTACCGATTTCTGGCACCTATGCTCCTTGCTCCCATCTCTGCAGAGGGAGAGGGGGAAAACTGATCAAAACATCCATTACCAAGGAAAGTTTGACTGCAGGCCAAGACAGGTGAGTGGAAGGAAAGGAAGCCTGCAAGAAAGCAAAAGGTTCCTGAAATGTAGAGAAAAGCTTTCAGGAACGTGGAGTGGGGTGCTGTTCAACCTGCTGCAGATGACCCAAATATCTAGAGCTGCAACTGAGAAAAATAGACACTTTCATCTTTACCCCCTCTGGCTTCTTCCACTGACATTGCAGCTGCAGCTGCCTGCTGCCCGGCCAGCCCACCCTCGGCTTTTCTGAATGAGACCACATGGCTGAGAACGGCAGGTTTGTGAATGCCGCTGCAGGCACAGAAGAAACAGGAGCAGCCCCAAAAAACAGTTGCCTGGCACAGGATGGCGTACGTGCTCCTCTTGCTCCCAAATCCAGCGCTCCTTCCGACTCCCCTTCCTTCTCTCTCTCTCCCCACAATTCTGAACCCCACTGCTGGCTGTTTAAGAAAGCAAGACAGAAAAAGAGAGTGCAGAAGCAAAAGGAAAGCCAGGCAAATAGCCAAGCCTTGTGATACTGCGTGAATTGCCAGTTAGCACGGCATCACCACCTCCCTGCATTATTCTCCTGCAGCACTGGGCTGGCGGGGGGGGGGGGAGGCGAGAGGAGAGGAATTGCTGCATTTACTGCAGTGGTCTCTCTTTTGCTTTGTTGCAGAGACTGAAAATGGTACGTTCTTGCTTTCTTTACCCTTCACTCATATTTGAAGGCTTTAAAGTAACATGTTACAGAAAGCCAGACTATTATGCAGCCCAGAGAGCATGTGAACACCCAAGGATCACAGGCCAGGAGTTCTAGGCCACAGCGGACCTTGGGAGGATATGAGCTGCCCCCAACCCATTGCTAGCCAGCCAATATGGACATGGAGGCAGTTTTTCCTGTAACAACAATCAACCCTCCAGACACCCAACAGCCTCCGAGACACTACCTTGGCTCTTGCTCTAAGCTTCTACAACTCTTTGCTTCTCAGATCTTAGCAACTGATTCTTGTCCACCTAAAACTTAAACAGAGAATGGGGAAGGGTGTGGGTAGGAGAAGAAGGGCAACAACAACAACAAGGGCTCTCCTTTCAAAAATTCAGACCCTGGTACACAGCCCTCACCCAAGTGGATGGAAATCCACCCAATGCCAACCCGGCCCGCTTGTCCTTTTGAGCATATCAGGAGTACTGGCAAGAACCAGCTCTGTAGCTCGTGCTTTACCCCAGACTGCCCCAGGCATCCACCTTCCTCCCCTCTGCCCGCTTCCAGAAGCACTTGCCCTCTTTGTTCTTCTGAGCCCAGTGTTATCAGATCTGTTTTTTTCCACAGCTCTGGCCTGCTGTTTGAAATCTTCCCTTATGCAAGCCAAAATCTTCACCTCTGCAGCAACATTGTCCTCCTGCAGAACCCAGGTGTCTTGGCTTGTCTGTTCTTCTTCCCACAAGAACGCATCAACAACGAACAGGCTGTGTTTGGGGATCAACACTGGGCAAGGGAGGAGCTATAAACCAAACAAAACAATGAAAACACACCCCAGGGAGAGCAGAAGGCCCAAGGTCCGGTCTCCAAGAGGGGCTGGGAAAGGCTCTTCCGATTCCCTGGAGAGCTACAGATTGTCCATGTACATGGTCCTGAGCCAGAGGATCAGCCGTTTGACTCACCATGGGGCAGGTTCCGCTGTTCCATTTGGCAGCCAAGAGTTGAAATGGGCAGCATCTACCCACGGAACTGTCAAGCACAGCAGCAGACCAGTATCTTCTTCCTTGCTGTTTTGGGTGCTCAAGGGGTACTGGCTGCCCCACTTACAGGGGGCAGAGAAGGCTGTGTCGGGGGCAAATGTCAGCAAAAACTCTTCTCTACCAAAGGCCATGGCCAAATGGCATGTCAGGGTATCTCAAAGACTCTTCCACTGGCAGTCATAGATTACACCAAGTATAAGTAGGTCAGGCTACCCCGGTTCCTTTCACAGACTTTGGGAACTGCCATTCCAAGAGGAGGAGAATTTTCACATCTAGGGTTCCTTAGAGGAAACCATGGATCCAAGCAATGTAAGATGTGTGTGCAGGCAAGGGAAGAATCCCTACGTGGGGTGGGGATTCAGCCAATATAATGATCAGCTTCTAATAAGATGGGGCAGGCAGCCCGCAAGTGTGGTCCTTACATCTCCAGTCTCAGACCAGCCAACAGGAATGGCTCAAAGGGAGTCGTTTTCCACCCAAAAACTTCCACACCCAAACAGATGACACTACATTTTAATGTATGTTATAAATGAAAAAGCCAGGTTAGCGGCTGAGAACAACGCAGTTCCATGACAAGAAGTGGGGCAAGAATACAACACAAGGCAACAACAAATTCACTGGCCTGCTGGGCTGGAGAGGCACGGAAGGAAGCAGACTTCCTTTCTCCTTATAACTATTGCTGTCGGTTCGGAAACACCCACCAAAAAACAAAAAAAAACCAAACCCCCTCCCCCCCCAAGAAAGGAATGAGACAAGATCCACCAGTCAAGGGAGGAATTAACAAGCAACCAGGAATCAGGAATTCCCTGGCCAAATAACAAGGAGATTAGCAACTCTGCAATCTGGCCTTGACTGGTAACCCCTGACTCCCCCTTTCTTTCCAGGACAAAGTTCCCCTGCCCCACCAACCAATGTCCTCTTGGCAAACTGCTCTCGTCTGCCAACCCTCATCTCTCTATCAGAAAAGTCTGGGTTCCCTGACTTGTGTGAGTCAACCTGAAAGAAGCTGCTATGAAGATTGAAGCTCAGTAGATAAGCCTGAAGGTTGTACAGACAGAGGCACAGAAGAGAAACAGGGACATCACCAAAGGGAGGGAGAGAGCACAAACCCCAGGCAGCCAGGACAGATGGGAGAATCTAGGTGGGTTCAAAACCCAAAATAAAGAAAAATGAACATGGTAGCCATTAATTCACTCCTTTCCATCTTCTGCATATCCCAAGCAGAAACGGTGAACTCTACTCCAAGTCCTGAAGTGTCAGACAGAGACAATCGTGTGTTGGTGCATGATGAGAAAGATACCAACGCGCAACCGGCAATGGTGTCTTTGTCAGCAACCCAGCAAGGAAACGCAGCTGCTCCCAAGCTCTATGTGCCTTGTGAGAGAGTTGATGCTCCAGGAAGAAGACAACACCCCAGAGCCTCCCGTGCCCTCTGCCGTGTCCTCACCCCCTCACCCTGCCTTGGTTAAAGTGCTTGTGTTGAGATGATCGCAGACATAGCAGGCCCTCAGGGAGTGAGGCTCTGAGAGGTGGAGGTCTCCTCAGTCGGCAGGATTTCGATGCTGCTGTCTGGCTGGCTTGGGGAGACACTGTCCGTCAGCTCCATCTCCTGGGTTTGGCTGGGCGACAGCGGCTGAGGAGAGCTAGCCGTGTCAGTGCTGGGGGTTGCAGATTTGCCCTCGGCCAGTCCCAACAATTCCTGGACATTACGGGGTAAATCCTTTGTGGGGAACAGAAGAGGAGGAGAACAATGTCACAAGTTTCAAACCTGTGACCCAAATCAAAACACTTTCCCCTGTTTGGGTGGTTTGGTCCCACACTGCTTCAGTGGCACATCCTTGTGTCTTTTATACCAGGGGCAGCTGGTCCACTAGCGACCTCTTACTTAAAGTTCCTTTACTGTCAGGTGCCAGAGGAGGAGATTGCGGGCTTGTCCAGCCTGTCTGACATAATGGGGCCTGAAGGTGCTGGTGCTCCCCAGGGCACACCAAGACAGGAAAGGAAAAGGGTTTTGTCAGGCTAGGGGACACTCACTGGAGTAGCTGCCAGCTGTCTGTAGATTGCCTCGGCTCGGCACAAGATGTCTTCCACACTCATCTTCATGGTGAGCTCATTTATATGCTGCAGAAAGTCAGATACAGAACGTAAGGAACTCAAACAGCTAACCAAGAAAAAAAGAAAGAAAAGAGGATACATGTTGGAAAGGTTGAAGTTGGGGAGAAAGACACAAATGTACATCCCCACCACCGTGTGTGTGTGTGAGAGAGGGAGAGGGAGTCGTATGTAACAAAGAGTATGTATTCCATGGTTTTAATGCTCCTACTTGAAAAAGGCTCCTGCAAAAGGAGTGAGATCCGCACTGTGAAAAAATAGGCACACTGCTCCTTGTTCAAACTGATGGATACGCTGCTTAATCTGCCTTTCTAAGCATTCAGCAGAAAAGTCACATAATAGCAGGGGAAAATGTGCTGCAAAGGCAGGCTGCAGGCAAGCTCATGGGCCCCAAGAAAGCCAAAAGCCGTGGAAGAGATCGGAAGCTACGGAAGACAAGCTGGTCCTTCTTCGTTGCTGGCCGCACAGTTTCAGAAATGGGAATGTGCTTAAGCCTGAGGACTATAAATCCTGAAGCGGTGAACAGCACACGCCTGTGAGCGCTAGACAGAGCGCAGGCACAAATGTGCCGGAGAGGAAGGCCAGAGCTCCCCAACACTCACCTTGAGGATCTCACTGAAGCCAAAGCCAGAGTTCATAAGAGCCTGCCTCTCTGCATCCAAAATGCCACAGGCCACCAGCAGGTGGAAGTTGGGGCAAGGCAGCTCTGTCCACAGCACCTGGAACGGGAGACAGACACACCATTCAGGCTGGGGAAGGTGCCAACATGGTGCAAAACATTCCAAAGTTAAATACAGTCCCCACATGTCTGAGCTGCAGGAGCCAGAGCACTGCCACATCTAAAACTATGTATCCAAAATTAACACTATGATCAAGTTCTGGGGCCGTCCTCCGACTGCCACTTCTGAGGGAGGCTCAGATGGGGGCAACAAGGAGAACATTCTTTTCAGGAGTGGCTCCCCAGTTATGGAATGAGTCTTACAATCTTAGTGGCACCAGGTAAAGCTTGCCCTCTACTGCGGGGCATTTAATTAGTTACTGGGGCCTATTGGTTGTTCAACAGGTTTTAACAGGGTTGCTTCAACTTATGCCTTTTTGTTGTTTTAAATGTGGTTTTAAATTTTGTACCCTTAACTTTTATGATGCTTTAGTATGTTTGAATGATATATTTTATATTGCTTTTAAATACGCTGTTGTGAACTGCCCACAACTGTGGCTGATGACCGGTACAGAAACTAACTAAATAAATCAACAAATAAAATCAGAAAATAGCAGGTGAAGCTGTTCTCTCCAGGCCAGTCTGCTTTCGTATGCCCGACCAAGGCATGGGTAGTGCAAGGTAGGCTCTGGAGGGCCTTTAGGCAAGGCATCCTCCTGGGGTCCCCCGCATTAGCGAGCGAGGCCGCCTTCTCCCTCCTCTTGCCACTGGCTCTGTGACTACACATACGCTTCCTCACAATGCGCTTCTCATACGCTGGCAGAAAGCTGGTGGGCAAGCTGCCTCCTCCTCCTCACCACCACAATCGTCTGGCCAGAGGAAGAAACGGCGGAACGATCAGGTTGCGACAGTGAAGAGAAGTCCAGAGCGGTAATGTCAGTGATCCCATGCTGGGGTGTGGGCCCTTGGCAGGTGCCCAGCCATCCCTACCTTTGATGCTAGTCCTCATGGATCTCCTGAAATCAACTGTGCTGTCACACCTGCCTAGCTCATGCAGGGCAAGAACTGAGAATCTACACTACTATGCATGTTTGCATAGTATGAATCTGCACTATTATGCATGTACATTCTTAAAACATTTTAATATAGTAAAATTCCTGATTTAAGTAAATGTGCTGGTTCTGATGGGGGGAGGGGTAGAAGAGAAATGGGAAGGTTCTAGGATTTATTTCATCCCACATTAATGCCTACATCCAACTTTCATAAAGAAAGCACACTGCCAGTTCAGGGGAACTGAGTTGTTAGCCATTAGGAGCTGACAGGGTTATAATTTAGAAATCTAGTCAGCTCTTTGAAGTGAATCAACTACTCCCTGTGTTTGCCGTCAGCTCCTGCTGCTCAATAATCCAGTAAGTGGTGGCAGCTACTCACTAGTAATCAGTTGCAAGGGGTATTTAGTCTCAGTGTTAAGACTAAAGTTACTAGTTCATCATCTCAACATCCTAATAATTTATTCATACCAGTTGGACACTTAAACCAGTTCATCAGGTAATGCTGGGGTGCAGGGGAAAGGAAAGGTTCTATCAAAGAATCCAAGAGGTGTTATATGTATGTTCTACCACCTGCACTGCCCTCCTAATAAAGACGAATCCATTCAGTCCCAGAAGCAACTCTCAAATAATTCCTTCCTTTTTTCAATACCCTGTCAGCTTGAATTTGCACTCGCTACCCTCAAACCAGCTAAGTGGGAGCTGCGATGCACCATCCAAATGGCGCACGATCAGATCCCACGTGACACTGCAGAGGAAGCTGGGGAGCGACTGTCAGCTTGCGTGCTGCAGCCTCGTGCTCAGGCGGAGGACAGCAGAAATATGGGACAAGTCAGACGAGTTCAGTTCAGGGAAACAGGCACAGGCCAAGGAACACTGGAAAGCGAAGTGTACCAGCAGGATTAAATTCATCCAGGGTCAATCAAGGCTTGCTTATATATATATATATATATACACACACACACACACGTGCATGCGGGGGGTACATATGGAGGCTACTGTCATTTGGGTGGAAGACATAAATGCAGTTCCCTTTGCTGAAGTTATTTGGGTCCAGGCTTGGCCAGGATCTGGATGGGTGACCATCTGGGAACGTAATGCATGATGATCTAAACTACTTGAAGGCTTTGGAAGGATTGTAGCTCACTGGCAAAGTTACTGCTTTGCACACAGAAAATCAGTGTGGTATAGTGGTTAGAAAGTTTGACTAGGAATCAGGAGATCTGGGTTCTAATCTCTACCCAGCCATAAAGCTCACTGGGTAACTTTAGGTCAGTCACTGGCTCTCAGCCTAAACTACCTCACTTGTGAGGATAAAACATGGAGAAGCATTATGTAAGCTATCTTGGGTTCGTTGTAGGGAAAAGGGAAGGATTAATAAAATAAAAAACTGGCCCCAGATTCCCTAACATTCCCCAGTTAAAAGGAACTTAGGAAGCAGGGCTGGAAACCTTTCTACTCAAAAGCTTGGGGACCCATAGCTAATAAAGTAGGTAACACTGGATCAAACAGACCGTGTAAGGCACATTCATATGCTCAGGCTGCCAATGTACCTCTGGAGCTAATGATTCATCAGTATCTTTCAGTCCAGCGATTGTAGGTATTCTGTCCTGCTCTTCACTCAGGACTCTTTCTAGCTTGTATCATGTACTCTAGGAAACATCCTCTGGCAGTTTTCTCCACAGCCCTACATCTTAACCAAGAAAAATCTCAGTTTCTTCTCACTCCACTTCATGTTTTCATTCACCCCATTTTTTTCTCCCAAAACCAAAAGCCGTCAGGATGACATGCTCTGTATTTTCCCCATCTGGTTCTCAACAAGTGGTCTCCATTCCGCTCTTACCTCCCACAGCTGAAGAACTTCAGAGAAGGCAAACTCCCTCTTGAACCAGATCAAGATCCATCGGAAACAGAAGCATAATGTGCCGGACTCCTTTGAATCTGGGAGAAGCAGCAAGCAGGGTAGAAGTCAGCAGGGGGTTGTTTTATTCCATTAGTTAATTTCTGAGAGTGAGAGAGACTTCAGTCACCCCAGTGTTTGCTTTCATCTTTCAACTTTCTAAATACCTTTTGCAAGATTGAAAAGAGATAAAGAGCCCCTGGAAGAGCTTTTCCCTACTGAGAGCTCTGTCAATGTGTTGTGTCTACATCTCTTATAAATTCCAGTCAGCGTCGGCCATGATACAGACTGGGGAATTATGGCCAGACACATTTGGAAGATATCAGATTGGGGAGGGCCAGCAGTCAAAACTTATTTTTATGTCAAATAAAAATTGACATAAGATGTTTCATTATAACACACACAAACACATATGAACAGGAGACTTTGCTCCTCTGGGAAAATAACACAAGTACCAAGGAAGTCGCAGAGGGGGGGATCAAGCACTCTGAGCAGCAAGTTAAGCTGGGATAACTGCCTCTTCATGGACTCCTGGCTTTCTTCAAAATTGCGATGCTGCAAGCAGAAAGCAAAAGCGTGTGATCAAGCCAGAGAAAGAGTTATTAACATCCGCTTGGATTCCCTGGAAATCTTCAAAGGACTGCATCTCTAGGATGACATTCAAGCCACTGCCAAGCTCCCATCTTATCCATAAAATCAAAACAGGGATGGGCAACTGACTGAGGCCTGACAGCCCTTCCCTGTGGACCCCAAATATATATAAATATTTAAATGGCAACTGCAGCAGCTACTGAGAGTACTGTGGATTGCACTTAGCCTGTAAACAAGTTAATTATGACTCTTGTGATACTTTGTAGCTGCTATGGATAGCAACCTCTGCATCTCGCTTTTGGGGACATGGGAGCTGCATGTGGCTACAGGACATATTTGCCCATTTCTGTCAGAATCATGTTAGAACTACCTCAGCCACCCAGCTAGTCCAACTATTGCTGATGCAAGAATCCACAACTACAGCATCCTTCATGGATGGCTATGCACTCTCCACTTACAAGCCTTCAAAACAAGGCATTCTTTTCCACCCCTGAACAGTTTATTCTTTCAAGAAGTTCTTCCAAAACGTTAGTCAAAATCTGTGTTTGTGCAATTTGACCCATTGTTTTGGGTGTAATCCTACCCTACTTTAGGAGTAAAAGAAAATAAATTTACTTCAACTATGCAAGACCCTTTCAAATATTTTCACGGCTGCTTCACCAGGCTAAGCATACGCGATTCATTCAGGTCTTTCTGCAGAGGACTTCGGCTCCAGGCCTTTCACCAACGCTGCTGCCCTCCTCTTCTGTGTTGCCCCAAGACAGGCTCTTTTCCCAGAACAGAGGGAGCTCCTCCAGACCACGTACTCACCACCAGCTCCATGAAACCACAGAAGCACCAGAAAGCATCCACTTCATTCTGGGTAATGTAGAGAATCGGGGACAAGAGGTCACTCATACCTTGGACGTAACCTGCACAGGGCAAGCAAAAACAGGAAGTCATTGCAATGTCTCTGTGGATTTTTTAAACTCTGTGCCTCAAGTTCTATATGCGTTTGTCAGGGGGCTCTACAGATTGCTGCAAAAGAGAGAGGATTATGGAATTAACCAGGTCTAACAGCAGACAAGGCAAAGAAAATTCTCCCTGGAAAAGGCTAAATTTGCAGCTGCTCCTCAGTACAGAATTTAATATCTAAATCTAAAATCATGTTTCTAGTTCATGTGGCTGAGGAAAGCTTGAACAAAGAGATGGGTGTACTTGATGGGTTTACTTGAGCACAGGCCATATACAGCTCTGTTCAAGGGAACCATCTACCAAGAACCAGCACTACCAGCTTGGCTCCCTCTTTTTGCAGTCTTACCATGCGGAAGCCAAGGCAGCACGTGCCCTTTCTGATCTGGTGTTATGGCAAAGAACACATCCCAGAATTCTTTGTGGTAAGAGCAAAGGATTGTTCAGTGCTGCACCTCTACCCCTCACTAGCCATTCCTCTGCTTCCTCTCTCCCTCAATCAATAAGGGCCCCTCCTAGGGCAAGCTAGACAAGGGTCTCCAACAACCTGAGCAGGCCCTGGCTCTGCACTATGTTCTTCTGCCGACCTTATTCCTTCGCTGTGTCTGGACTCACCAAGGTCAAAGTTGTACATGCAGTAGGTCATGAGTACATCATTCAGGAGCACAAGGCCAGGGTTCTCACTGCCCTCGTAGAATTTGTTGTTCCTGTCTGTGCGGCTCACATCTCTTTCTGCAAAGGCATGGAAACACTCATACAAGTTGTTTATGAAATATACAAATTATCTTTTTGTCAAAAGGCCACTCAAGGAAATAACCAGTCGCATACAATTACTGGAAGATAAGGAGTCTGCAGAGCAGCTAAATGAATTCTTTGCTGCAGTCTTCACTGCAGGAGACGGTGGACAAATTTCCTACCTAATCTGTTTTTGTGGGATGGGAAGGTGAAGGGAAAAGCGGCTAAGGAGCTAAGCCAAAGACAGAAGTGGCATGAGATGAAACTCTAGGGCTTACTGACAAACCAAAAATGAGCAAGTCACTGGGTTGTGGCTTCTGAAATCCACACAGAGCCATGTTCAGAGGGCAGCAGGCCACTGCACGACAGATGCTGGGGAACAACAACAGAAGGCCGTTCTCTTCACTCCCTGCTCCTGCTTGTTGCATCCGACTGGCCGCCACTGCACCGGGTAGCCCTTTGGCACATCTCCGGAGGGTTCAGCATGTTTTTGCTACCACCGTTTTTGTTTTTTGTTTTTACTGCTAACACCATCCCATGATTCCCAAGAGATTGCACTGTGAGACAGTGGAACGGAGGGTAAACAACGTAAGCAGAATAGTGGTGTTGTGACCACAAGGGTGTGTGTGCTGTGACCACAATCATTCACTAATCAAGACCAGGGGAGAGATCATCTACCAACCAATCAGACTGCGGTAGCCTCGCAGCAAGGAGTTCCTTTGTTCCTGCTCCTCACTGACTGACTTCCACTGTAGCTTCATCCGAAAGTACTCATCCCTGAGAAAAACATTAAAAGAAGGATACAAAGCACAAAAGTTCATGCATTGGCTCTTAGTCCACAGACCAGCCACCCAGCCCAAAGAGAAGCACTTGAAACAAACATCCTTTCACAATTCTGACACAGCCTCACATACGTTTTCCGCTTCACTTGTGCCTTGTTCTCCTCACTGGTATTGTCCCAGGAGTAATAGCTCAAAAGGTACTTCCAGACTTCCTTGCGCAAGGACATGCTGAGACCCTAAAAAAGCAGCGGGAAAGGACTGATGAGAGCATGCTGATACAGAGAAAAGAACCCACTTGCTGGGGCTTTTTAGTCTTTCAGTTTCTTTTCAAACAAATTGTTGTTTTGGGTTTAGAATCTAAACTTTAGATCTTCACACTACTGCTAGTTTTTACTCTAGTTTTATACCATTTTATAGTTTAGAAAAAATATAGTCTGTTTTATCATGACATATTTTGCAATTTGAGTTGTCTGAACAGCTTAGGCTATTGAGTGGTACAGGAATGTAGGAAAACAAAGTTAGAACAGACATTAGGAAGAAAATCAACACAATCCTGCCTGACTCTCACCCCTGTCCTGATATGCAGCCCCTCTCACCACCTGACTCCCACACTGAGATGCTCCCTCCCCTCAGGTCTTACCCCAGCAAAGATTCTTCTGCGCAAGCCAACGGGGTCCTTCACACGCCCCTCAGGATCCAGGTGCTCCTCCCATTCCTGCTCAGTAACAGGGGCCTCCCGCTGGACTGCTGGACGTTCTCCTAGTCGTGCCTGCTGCCAGGGACAGAAGGAAAGAGGTGCAGAGGAGGAACTGTTATATGCAGCAGAATTCCTCCATGCCAAACAGAACCAGGGGGGCCTCATAGAGTCCCCCTTGCAATTCGGGCATGGCACCAGGTCTAGATGACTGGCGAGGAGGGTCTCCAGTTGTTTCCCACTAAGACACAGTAGAGAGGAAGACCAGCAATGGCAAACAAGCTTACTTCGGGGGAGCTTGTTCATTCTTACTGATCTTCTTGTCTTGGAATTTTCAACTGGATTCCATGGAATGCCAGGAGTCAATAATGCAGCAGTTTTCAAACTATGGCCCTTAGCTTACTAGTCCTCAAGAATCAACTCTTTGGTCACCTGCATTTGTAGATTAGAAAAGGCCTCACATTCTGGTACATGGAGAAGTGAGAGTGACAGATGCTTTGCTGTGCTCTCATGAGTACTACAAGTCACTTAGGCAAGATGAACTGTCACAACTACCAGGCCCATTATACAACAGAATAGAGTAGTAGAGTTGGAAGGAGCCAAGAAGGCCACAGGGTCCAAACCCCTGCTGTCACAGCACACTAGTTTACAGCCTCACACTCAGATGGCTGTCCAGTTTCTTTCTGAATGTCTCCAGTGATGGAGTGCCCATGACTTCTCTAGGCAACTGGTTCCACTGTCATATTGCTCTGACAGTGAGGAAACGTTTCCTGATGTCCAGCCTGAATCTGAGTTGACACAACTTGAGCTGATTATTTCATGTCCTGCACTCTGGTATGAGCAAGAAGAGATCTTGTCCTTCCTCTTTCTGACAGCCTCTGAGGTACTTATAGAGGGATGTCATGTCCTGCCTCAGTCTTCTCTTCTCAAAGCTGAACATACCCAGTTGTCTCAGTCTTTCTTCACAGGGCAATGTTTCCAAATCCTGGATAATTTTTGTTGCCCTCCTCTGGACCCTTTCTAGTTTCTCTGCATCTTTACTGCCCAAAACTGGACAAAGTATTCTAGACAAGGTATGCCTAGTGAAGAGCATAGAGGAATTATTACTTCTCATGATTTGGAAGTAATACTTCTATTAATGCATCCCAAAATAGCATTTGCCCTTTTTTGCAGCTGCACTGCACTGCTGGCTTATATTTTGCCTGTTGTCCACAGCAAGCTCTTTTTCAGTTCTGCTGAGCCATGTACTCCCCATCTTGTATCAATGCACTTGGTTTCTTTTCCTAGATGGAGAACTTGCCATGTATCCCTACTGAATCTCATTTTGTTGCTTTCAGCCCAGCGTTCAGGCTTATCAAGATTGCCCTGGATCTTCATTCTGTCTTTCAGGGGGTTTGCTATTTCACCCAGTTTTGTATTACCTGATTATTGTTCCTTGTACTAAAGCTAAATCCTTAATAAAGATGTTAAAGAACACTGAGCGCTGCAGCACCTCACTAGTTACCTTTCCCCAGTTTGAGAAGGTGCCATTGATGAACACTCTGTGTCCAATTTAGCAACCAATTTTGGATCCTCCTAATAGTATTGCTATCTAGTCCACTTTTTGCTAGTTTGCTTATCAGAATGTCATGGAGCACTATGTCAAAAGCTTTGCTGAAGTCGAGGTACATTATGCCCACAGAGTTTCCGCTGTCCATGTGGAAAGTTATCCAGGCAAAAAATGCGATTAAATTAGTCTGACAGGAGTTATTCCTGATAAATCCATGTTGGCTTTTATTAATCACTGCATTTTCTTCAAGATGCTTCCAGACCGATTTTTAAATAATTTCCTTCAGAATTCTATTTCACAGCAGGAATTGTACCTGCTGTCAGTTCAATATACAGTATATCACAGAAGTGAGTACACCCCTCACATTTTGTAAATATTTTATTATATCTTTTCATGTGACAACCCTGAAGAAATGACACTTTGCTACAATGTAAAGCAGTGAGTATACAGCTTGTATAACAGTGTAAATTTGCTGTCCCCTCAAAAGAACTCAACACATAGACATCAATGTCTAAACAGCTGGCAACAAAAGTGAGTACACCCCTAAGTGAAACTGTCCAAATGGGGCATTATTAGCCATTTTCCCGCCCCGGTGTCATGTGACTCGTTAGTGTAACAAGGTCTCAGGTGTGAATGGGGAGCAGGTGTGTTAAATTTGGTGTTATCACTCTCACTCTCTCATATTTGTCACTGGAGGTTCAACATGGCACCTCATGGCAAAGAACTCTCTGAGGATCTGAAAAAAAGAATTGTTGCTCTGCATAAAGATGGCCTAGGCTATAAGAAGATTGCCAAGACCCTGAAACTGAGCTGCAGCACGGTGGCCAAGACCATACAGCGGTTTAACAGGACAGGTTCCACTCAGAACAGGCCTCGCCATGGTCGACCAAAGAAGTTGAGTGCACGTGCTCAGCATCATATCCAGAGGTTGGCTTTGGGAAATAGACATATGAGTGCTGCCAGCATTGTTGCAGAGGTTGAAGGGGTCGTGGGTCAGCCTGTCAGTGCTCAGACCATACGTCGCACACTGCATCAAATTGGTCTGCAGGGCTGTCGTCCCAGAAGGAAGCCTCTTCTAAAGATGATGCACAAGAAAGCCCGCAAACAGTTTGCTGAAGACAAGCAGGCTAAGGACATGGATTAGTGGAACCATGTCCTGTGGTCTGATGTGACCAAGATAAACTTATTTGGTTCAGATGGTGTAAAGCATGTGTGGCGACAACCAGGTGAGGAGTACAAAGACAAGTGTGTCTTGCCTACAGTCAAGCATGGTGGTGGGAGTGTCATGGTCTGGGGCTGCATGAGTGCTGCCAGCCAGCACTGGGGAACTACAGTTCAGTGAGGGAACCATGAATGCCAACATGTACTGTGACAAACTGAAGCAGAGCATGATCCCCTCCCTTCGGAGACTGGGCCGCAGGGCAGTATTCCAAGATGATAACGACCCCAAACACACCTCCAAGACGACCACTGCCTTGCTAAAGAAGCTGAGGGTCAATGTGATGGACTGGCCAAGCATGTCTCCAGACCTAAACCCTATTGAGGAGCACAAGGTCTCTAACATCCACCAGCTCCGTGATGTCGTCATGGAGGAGTGGAAGAGGACTCCAGTGGCAACCTGTGAAGCTCTGATGAACTCCGTGCCCAAGAGAGCTAAGGCAGGGATGAAAAATAATGGTGGCCACACAAAATGTTGACACTTGGGGCCCAATTTGGACAGTTTCACTTAGGGGTGTACTCACTTTTGTTGCCAGTGATTTAGACATTAATGGCTGTGTGTTGAGATATTTTGAGGGGACAGCAAATTTACACTGTTACACAAGCTGTATACTCACTACTTTACATTGTAGCAAAGGGTCATTTCTTCAGGGTTGTCACATGAAAAGATATAATAAAATATTTACAAAATGTGAGGGGTGTACTCACTTCTGTGATACACCGTAAGTCAGCTCAGGCCTCTGCGCTACAGACTGCTCTCCCAAGATGATGGGATTTCCTGCAATGGTTCTCAAAGGTTCCCTTCCATTTCTCCTCTTCTGCTGCTACAGCAGGAATTAGCTCCACAGCTCTCATGATCCCTCACCACCGGCTAGAGCTCACAGGAGCTGTAAGCCAAAACATCTGGAGAGGCAGACCTTGTTCTTTGCTCTGCAGCATTCCCCTCACCTCTCTACAGTCTCACCACTGCTGCGATTGCAGGATTGTGCGAGAGAGCAGATGGCTGAAGGTAAGAAAGGATGGCCAAGTATCTGTTGCCCCATGAAAGCACTCTGCCTTCTGCCATCTCCTTGCCATTCCTCCCCCTCTGCTATTTATTTAGGATATTTATATGCCGTCCTCTGCAAAAGCCTCAGGACAGCTTACAAAGATAAAATACAAATATCACCCAACATAAATTATCGACCCACTCTGGCTGCGGTTAAAATATAATGGTAAAAATACAATATTAAAACTTATTAAAATGTTGATCAAATAAAAAGGTCTTAACCTGGCACTGAAAAACATATACTGACGGCACCAGGTGGACCTCTCTGGGGAGCGCATTCCATAGACGGGGCGCCACCGCAGAGGAGGCCCTCCTCCGGGTACTCTGTGTCCTAATGTCTTTCACAGAGGGTTCCCGGAGGAGGGCATCTGCAGCCGATCTCAGGGGGCGGGAGGGCAAATAGGGAGAAAGGTGTTCCTTTAGGTATCCAGGTCACAAGCTGCTAGTCATAGTACAGTGCCTGCTTCATCACTCACGCAGGTTATCACTTCAAATCCAGTCTCATCTTCGACATTGGCAGCAGCTGGGTCGCCGTGAGGATGCTGGGCGACCCCATCCTCCTGGTGCAAAGCTCCTCGGAAGAAATTGGTGACCTTGGAGAAGCCACCAAAGGTGGCTGCATAAGGATCCTGCAGGAATCGCTAGGGAAGAAAAAATACACATGACTGCATGTTCAGAACTAGGATTTTCACTGTGCAAAATGTGCAATGCATATAATTTGGGGAAGGAGGTTAGTGGCAGGAGGCTCCCAGTGGTTTAGGATATGCTGGCTAGAGATAATGGAAGTTGTAGTCCAGCATACTGGGAAAGCGTGAGAATGCAAATGGCTGGTGCAGAGCATCTTCCAAGAAGTTGTGCGCTGAAGTCTCAGAGAAGTCCACAGAGGGTTTATTTGCCAATCTGAGAGAATATTCATACACACACATTCCAAAAAGATGATCAGAAGGGCTGGTTTGGTGGCTGGGCGTCTTCACCAACCTCAAGCCAGTCTACAACTCTCTTGCATTCTGGAACCAGAATTCTTACCATCAAGTGCTAAGAGCCAGAAGAGATCTGCATGGACTCATGTCACGATGATCCTAATTCTGTGGTACCTTTGTATGGGCTTTTGTTTTGAATGAAATCTTGGTTGAGTAGAAGAGTATAAATCAAATCAAATAGCTAGATCTAAAATTCAGGCATCTTAGTATCCAGCCCAGCACCATCTAACATGGGGATGTTGAATCATTATTGGCATGAGGACTGAATCCAATTTTGGAAAACAATCTAGAAAGCTTTTCCTATACTAATGGCAGGCCAGGGTAAGGGTAAAAGGGGCAGAACCAAAAGAACAGTGTACTTTTGGCTTAAAGCTCTTACTGCTAGTAAGTAAGCTATTAGGCATTTTAATATTTCAGAATGAGGGAAAAACCTGGAAAAAAGCAGGGAAACCAGCAAAAGATCACTAAATTGGGAAGGAGTGAAGCCATCTTAGAAACCCTAGAATGCTGGACTGGGGTGCCCAGTGAGCCAGATTTGGCCCATGTTCCTGGGGTTTAACATGCCTAATATAACTAAAATCCCCTGCCCCAGATATATCACTGCTGTCCCTCAAGACAATCAGGAGCCCAAGTTCCTTAAACCTGTTTTTCTAGCCCACAACAAGGAGCCTGCACTCTTACCCATACCTTCTGCTCTTTCTCACAAAACCCCACTCTATCTCCCCATTTCAAATCTTCTCCACTCCCCATAGAACCGAAGGATCTTGGCTTTGCAAGCCCACTAGAACTTATCCACGTGCACAAGCACTTTGAAGAAGGGCCTCACCGACACTAGGTTGGAGGAGCTGTCGTCAAAGAGCTGAAGCTCGTCAAAGGAGTGGGTGAGGGCAAACGAGTCATGGGTGTAAACCAGGTAGAGACGTGAATCTTTGGGGGAGCTACAGGAAGAGAAACTACAGTGAGTTAATTCTGCCACCCCACTGCTCCTCAAATGGTCTTAAGCACTAGCAATATGGCAGGGCAGAGTTCACCCAGGATTATATTGCTTCAGGTAAGAAATCCCAATTTTAAAAATGCTGTTTCCTGTGTAGAGAAAGCCAGCAGATGAGGGAGATGTACTCTTACCTCACCCTCTCCCTGAAATACTTATACTTGAAGATCGGTTTGTTCTACATGAAAAGCAATGTTTTTCAAAATTTGAAATATTCAAATCAGACTTTTTAGCTGTACAACAATAGCAAACCAGGTTTAAAATTCAAAATAATACTCCATCACCTCCCAGCTGAAGTGATATAGTCTATTCCATGGTTTTGAAGAAGTGCGGATCAGATTCTATCCAGTCTGAGAGGAACCAAGTCCTATGAACTTAGAAGAAAAAAAGCCTTGCTAAATCTGACCAAAGCGGAGCATCCTGCTTCCAAAAGTTTCTACCCAAAAGCTCCTGGGAAGCACACAAGCGGGAAATTAGACCACTCGCCCTCTCCTGTTGTTTCCAGCAATGGTAACTGATTAAACTAGAATTAGCCTAGAGGTTTACTAAAGGCATCGAAAGAGGCTTCGAAATTTGCATGCAGAGAAAATCCCCTAATTTCAGAGAAATCCCCATATTCTCTGATCTTTATACTAAAAATGAGTTATCAGATAAGAGTTCCACTTACGTGGCTAAGATCACATATTTGCAAAGAGCTTTGAGAAGGGCCTTGGTGCCCCCGCGATGGAAGTGCAGCGCTTGAATGGAGATGCCATCCTTGGTGATGAAGATGAGGTACGACCAGCCCAGACCAGGCTTACTCTTGCGGATGGATTTCAGCTCTGACAAGCTGAGGGAGAATGCCCACTGCCCACGTGGGATTGGAGATTTTGCCCCCGAAGCTGAAGCGATGGGAATAAGTGAAGAAGAAATGACAGGAATTGTATTAGACAACTGCTTTCTCTCTCAGAGTAGTCCAAAGTAGCAAGCTAGCACTTCTCCCCATTCGGCACCACTTTTTGTGGCATTATCATAAAACCTTTTTGCTATACCAAGGAACAGTCATCCCCATTTTTCTTTTGACTTACCAGCTGTTTCCTCCTGCACCCGGGACCGGGTCCCCACTGTGCTGATGACAGCCCAGTCTGGTTCATATCCTGGATCATAGATTTCTTCTTCACTGTGGCAGCCCACGGTGTCCTGGTGGGTAGAAAGCAAGATTAGTGCCTAAGAAACTCCCTATTCCCTTGCATATTTCACCAGACTTTCCCACAAATGATGACATCACTGCTTTTAACCTGACCTCACCAAGAGGAATCTGAATGAGGAAGGAATGGAAATATGGAATTGGAAGAGAAGCACATACCTCTCCTCATGAACATTTACTCCATCAGATCCTACCCTGCCCCTTGCATTACAGCTGAAGGTCTATTTCACTGGATGCAGAGAAAAGGATGAGTCTAGGACAGTGGTGGCGAACCTATGGCACGCGTGCCACAGCAGGCACGTGGAGCCCTCTCTGTCGGCACATGGGCCAAGTTGCCCCAGAAGCCGAGCATCGGATGACAGTGCACATAGGGGCCATGTGCATGCTCAGAAAGAAGTAGCGGCACCAGGCAATGACATCACAAGCCGCGACTCATTAGCTGCAATTCATTCAAACTTTCGCATGGCCGGTCAGTGCACTACCAAAGACATGTATATATATTTGCTTGGACTGGCTGTGAGTTGTTTTTATTAAACTAAAACCTCAGTTTTCAGGTTTTACTGTAGTGTTGCCACTTTGCGATAAATAAGTGGGTTTTGGGTTGCCATTTGGGCACTCGGTATCTAAAAGGTTCACCATCACTGGGTTAGGGTTCAAAAAGGAGGTGTTCTGGCATGATTTTGATGGTTGGAGTGAGTTTAGAATGGGCAGAAATGATGAGCTGTGCAGAACCAGCTACTCAAGGAAGGCTTTTTCAAAATCAACCACTTCTTAATGGAACTTTACCCCTATATTAGGTTTAGGGGTATGAGCCAGGGCAGGGTTAGGGTTAGAAAAATGAGGTGTCCTGGCATGATTTTGATGGTTGGAGTGTGTTTACAATGGGCAGAAATGTTGAGCTGCGCAGAAAAAGCTACTCAAGGAAGGATTTTCAATACAGCCCCTTTGAATGGTATTTTACCCCTATATTAGGGTTAGAGGAGTGTACCAGGGTAGGGTGACAAACCTATGGCACGTGTGCTGCAGGGGACACACAGAGCCCCCTCTGTCAGCATGCAAGCCAAGTCACCCCAGCATCGCTCAAGCAGCCGCACATTGGATAACATAGAGGCCATCCGTATGCTCGGAAAGGAGTAGCGATGCCAGGCGATGACATCCCGAGCCGCTATTCGTTAGCCACGACTCATCTGAGCTTTCGCATGGCCAGTCAGTGCACTGTCAAGGATATTGACTGTGAGGTGTTTTTTCTAAACTAAAACCTCAGTTTTCAGGTTTTATTGTAGTTTTGGCACTTTGCGATAAATAAGTGGGTTTTGGGTTGCAGTTTGGGCACTTGGTCTCTAAAAGGTTCGCCACTGCTGGTCTAGCATATGCTCACAGGATTTCATGAAACACAGGGCAGAATTCAAGCCCACTGCTGTGCTGTTACTCTATCTGCTTTATAAGTGGGACTTAATGCTCATCCAGCAGGGTACTAGCAGTCTGAAAAGCACCACTACAAGTAGCAGAGATGTTCATGTTTGGATTCACACAGATCAGCACAAAGTTCAACTGACTTGTCCTTATGTGGAAACAAGTTTCTATTTCTTGAGGCTGTGTTTAGAACTACTAGCTCCTAGTTGGATACCCTCATAATTTTCCGTATTAGTAAGAATTGCACTGTTACATATAAAAATGTGGGAGCAGTAGAGAAGATTATCTCCCATCCTGAATAAGCCATACAGGATCAACTAACACTGTCAGAACTTTCCAGCTTTTCTCCAGAATTCCTTTGAGCTTGAACTTTTATGTAACAGCCACGGCTTTGGGGCAGAATGCATGCCTATTGCCAGGTCAAAAGATCTTGTGTAAGGGTCCAAACAACAATCTACGAGGCAGTCCTGGGCTAGACAGACCAAAGCAATATGAAGCAGTTTTATTGCTTCAACATTTCTACTGGTTTAACAGTACCTCAGTAGGCCTGTCCTATCATTTCCAAGGGTGCCTGAGAAGAGAAAGTCTACTTCTTGTCTAAGAAGCAGAGCCTAAAAGAACAACTGCAATATATTCATATAATTTATTATTATTATTATTATTATTATTATTATTATTATTATTATAACATTTCTATGCCGCCCCTTGCCGAAGCCTCGGGGCGGCTTACAACACAATAAAATACATTGAAATACAATAGAACATAATAAATTACCACTAAATACAAAAAATAATAATTTCACCAGTTATGATAAACTAATCCTTTCCATACAGTTCAGGATTTATAACTTAGTAAAGACACACTTCTGAATAACTTTTGCACAAGTACCCAAAGCTTTGTATCTTAGCTACTGTGAAAATGGCACTATCTAATGACACCCTTTGAAACCAAGGGTGCATGCAGATACAATCGCAGCAGCTGTTCCACAATTCTGAAGTTCTTTTTCCACAGAGACTGATTTTATCCCCCAAATCCACCATTTTTTAAAACACTGAGAGGCTACAATGTGTTAACTTGAAAAGAGTGAGTGAATCAGAACCGCGGTTCATAACATAATAGTTTGTATTACTTACATCTAGCTCTTGAGATGGAATATACTAATTAGTTCACTGAATAGGCATGAGTGAAACAGTTTACCCACAGGGAAGGAGGTCTCACCTTCTTGGTGTACGTGATTTGAGCAGCATCTGAAGACTCCTCTACAGGTGTCCATTGTAGCAAAGTGTCTGAGCCCTGAATAAAGGGGAGAAGAAAGCCTCATAAGAGACCAAGAACACTGAAATATATATAGCTGTGTACACCCATTGTAAAAAATATTTCCAGCAGAGAACCGCATATTTCAATATATACTCTAATTTTGTACATACATACAGTAAATTAAAAAAGTCCAGATGCATCAAAGCAATTTGCTTTCTATCATCCAGATGATGCAAATATAAGGTATGCTGCACAGGAGTGGATAAGAAGCTGTGCAAATGCACAGAAGGATTTCACTTTATATACTTTTGCCTGTTCCTAGAGAAGCAACTAACCTCCAACTATTAGAAATGTTGTTTTAGACCAACATTATAACCAGAGATGCTGCTCAGTATTGCTTACACCAGGGGTCGGCAACTGTAGCCGCACGTGGCTCTTGAACCCCTCTGCACAGCAGCTGATCTGCTTGAAGCTCCACTCAGGAACCCAGCTCAGCGCAAGCTAGTTGCAAGCTAGTTAAGTAAATCGCTACATTCCTCTGCTAAACAAGCTTCCTGCAGGCTCTCATGTTACATGAAACAGAAACATGGCTGAAAAGATGCTCTTTGTCCCAATGTAATCTCCTTCATCTGCATGTTAAAAGCTGTGCTTGGGACCTGTCACAATTCACATCACTTGACTGTTTATCTGCTAATCAGTCACTAAACACACCAGTCACTAAACACACGCAGATTTACTGAGCTTTCCCCCCCTCCAACCATGGATAAATCCAAAGAAAAGTTAAGTTCCTGAAGAAAACCGAACGTTTAATGGTACATGGGTAGATTCATTTGCTTTTACTGCTGATGAACTTATGGGGTTTGCTGTTTAATGCATGCAGCCCTTTAGCACTGAAGCTGTTCTCCTATTCAAAATATATGAAAGGAATCCTACTAGTTTATAATGTAAGATTAAAAATAATAGTTTTTAGTGACTGAACAAGAGCTGCAGCTAAATCATGAAGATATAGTTCTACTTTTTTGTTTTAAGAAGATTCTTATAAAAATTCCAGCAACATTATTACATTGGGAGAGGGATGTTTGTTCAATATTTCACCACGTGATAAAAGGATGAGGGCACACGGAAGCAGATGGCATTTCTGGTTTGCTGCAGGTGGCATGTTTGGTTTGCTGCTAGTGGATAATATAAGTTCGGCTTTTTATTTCATAAATACAAGGAGGACTCAGATAGACATTGAGTATTTTATTTGAAAGTAACTTTCAACCTAGCATCTTTTTTTTTTTTTTTTTGGAGTTCAAAATGTTTTTGTTGCATGCAGAAATAAAAATTTGTTTTCTCTGTAGCTGTTCATTGATGTCATAAATGCAACACACTATAGTTTTTTTATACATAGCATAAAGGTAAAAAACTATATATGCAGTGTTATCTTCATTTTAGATGTCAAAGGGGTTTTGCGGCTCCCGGTGTTTTCTTTTCTGTGAGAAATGGGTCCAAATGGCTCTTTGAGTGTTAAAGGTTGCCGACCCCTGGCCTACATTTTCTAATGACCACATCTTAAGCCATACGGGCTGGCAATTCATATATTCTATAAACAAAAAAGTAAAAACTCAGGATGTTGAATTCTATACCAGAAGTCAACTTCCACCATCACACAAAACATACATGGCCTTAAGGCTGGCTACGTTCAGATATCACAGTAAACCATAGTTTAGCATGACAAGAACAAAAAGTTTTTGTCTCAGCATTCCCCACTTCTTTCTCACATAGTTTCAAACTGACTTAATTAAAAAAAACAACAAAAAACAGATTGACATTAGCTGTATTTTGCCAGTTCAGATATTATGCCGAGATGTGATTAAGCAAAAGAAAGACCAATTTATTGATCTTAATCAAACTCCTTGCATTTATATCAAGGTGGGCAAGCGTATAAACCTAAGGCTTGCGGTAATTTGTTCATTACAACCAGGCTTCTCAATGAAGAGAACCAGGCTTCTCAATGCAGATGCCTAAACTTCCTGCTCTTGCTTTTCAATTCCAGACAGCAGTCCATCTCAACCCACCTTCTCAATTATGCGGATAACACCTGGTATGAGGGAATCTTGGTCAGGGTGACGCTTTGCGCTGGTGTGCAGGTAGACACCATCCTTCTCAAATGCGATCTGTAGCAGGGCAGAAGAAAAGAGAGGGTCAAGAGAAAAACAGGACTCACCAAACCCACTTCTCCCTAAACAGGTATTTATGGGAATGAAACCCAGCCTCAAACTATTACAGAAGGAACATATTCATTATTGTTATTGCTATTGTTATTTAACTGCTATAGGGCCCAACGGCCAGAATAATTATGAAGTACGTGGGAAGTACTTTACAACCGTGACACTAATTAAGCAATTTTTCCACAATGCCCCCAGAAAGCTATCAAATACCACTTCTCCCCATAACTACGTAGGTGGGGAAAAACAAACTTCTCAGTCTACCAGCTTTCCTCTGCTTTTATACGGGTGACACACCGTTCCTCTGCCCCGGGGAAATAACTCTAAGCTTTGCCCTGAGAGGCAACCCCTCTCCTCCTGCCGCGCTCCATCTCTGCTGCTGCGGGGCTGGCACTGGGGCCAAAAGCCTCCCTCACCCTGCAGCCGTCTAACTCCATTCTCCCTGACAGCCACTTCCGGAAAAACAAAACGTCACTTCCTCGCTCCTCCCTCTTTATAAATGAGTCCCTCTTCGGCCGCCATCATTGGTTTTGGCGCGAAGGCCCTGATCAAGCGACCGTGGGCACCATGTTCTGTTTCTACGAGCGACGCTGTCGCCGCCATCTTGGTAGAGGGCAAAATGGTCGACTTGTTTCTGTTAGGAACAGGAAAATTTTCTTTTAGTAAGCAAAATGAAAGCCAGGTGGTTCCGTATCAGTAAAGGAAAGTCCACTATACAATCGATGATCATTATAATGGATGAAATGGAAAATTGTTTTATATCAAGTATAATAGGTATGAACACTTTATACCCAAACCATAAAATACACTAAGTTAGGCTAATGAATGAAATAACCCATGAAATTAAACAGGGTAGAGAGAAGTGATTCTTTCATTGTCTTTATGCAAGACAAGAGATCATGTAGGGCAGCATTCCCCAACTCCTATGGACTGCAATTCCCATCATCCCCAGTCAGCATGCTGGGTTGGATGAGGCTAGTGTAATAATATGACTTGAAATGATAGTCCAAACAGAACTAGGGGTTTTAGATTAACTGCAGGGTATCATCAAAGGGAGTAGTAGTCCATTTCTGGAAGGCATTCAATTAGGGAAGGCCAAAATAGGTCAAAACCATCTCCTACCACATACTTACTGGATAATCTAGACTCAAGGCTTGAGTATGTGTTGTTGAAATGGGGTTTGTCATTAAACCATAGGTTGCAGTTAAAAGATAGGTTATTGCAGTGAGTGGGCCAAGCACTACCCCTTTGTCAACTTTTCAGAGAGATACAGCATCCAGATACAGATTCTGAAGGTGGGTTTGGCAATGGGGACAGAAGCCTTTGCTGCACCTTCAAGGTTCCCAGGCTGGCTGTGAAAGCAGGCCTATTTTGAAAGAGATGGAAGGGGTTTCAGGGAAGAAGGGGGACCAGGTGATGGATCCAGTCCTTGATCCCATGATAAGGAGTTGGGAGTAATGAGGACAAACTACCCCGGTTAGAGGAACTTGCATCTGCTGGTTCTCCACCAATTAGAACCGCCCTGGGGTTAAAGTTGCAGTGTTATTAAACTGGGGAGAAGTTTCCAGCTTGAGTTCAACTCTTTACGTGAACAGAGGCTTATCTTTTCAGCTTGATAGAATGCTATTTAGGGTCCCACTGACATGTAAACTGTGAAGTTTCAATAAAGATCTACACTGTAAAGGATTGTCTGGGGTTCTGGAGGCAGAGGGAAGGGAGCAGCTCACAACAACTGTGTTTAAGAAGCCATCACTGTTAACAATGAACAAACCATGAAAAGAACTCATCTTTTGTTGTTGGGTTGTAAACTGTGGGTCATTCATGGTTAACAAACCATGTTTGTTATTATAGCTGGGTTCAGATGATGCAACAACCCACCTACTAATAATTCCTGAGCATGAGTTATATTGGCTGAAACCATTCCTGTTTTCTGTAGCTGCCTTTATCCAGGAGGCAAATATACATTTTAAGCATAGAGATAGGAGGGATAGAGAGTCCCCCTGGACACTCTAAATCATTTGCAGTCTAAAGCTGATGTAACCCTAGAATTTACAATACGAAGAGTGTATAGGTTCCACTGAAGAGTTATCTCATGCACAGGATAACACCAGCTCTGCACACCTAGAAAATAATGGTTTCACTTGGGTGTTACTCCAGATTTCAATTTCTATACATTTAAATGTCTGTGCCATTTTTACTACAGGCAGAATTGTGGTTGATGCTTTAAGGTAAAAAAGTGCTTTCAAAGTGCTTTTTGCTACCTTCACAGTGTTAGCTTGGTTGTGCTTTCAGTATTTTACTATCCACGGCCTATATTTGTTTAGGACGCAATCCTATGCTTATTTGCACAGGAAAGAAGGCCTACAAATAGGTTTGCTGGGGCATGCTGGGAGATGTAGGCCTTCTTCTGTCGAAACCTGCACGCGAGTGCGTCCTCAGGCTCCATCTTTATTTTGGGCATACAATTCCTGCTCTCCACGCCTCCTTCTGCTTCGCCATCTTTGAAAAGGGCGCTGTGTGGGCGCTGCCCCCATGTCTTGTGAAGGCAGCAGGAGGAGGCGGAGCCTCGGGGTGGGGAGGGGGAGGAGGCGGCTGTTGTTTAGAGGGGTGGGGGAGCTATAAGTGTCTTGGGAAGGGTTAAAGGTGAGAGGTCGGGATTCCGGCTGGTGACCCCGAGAGGGGGGTGGGTGGGGAGGAAGCCTCCTGTGGTTAAGCGAGGAAAAAGAACCGAGAGGCAGGAGAAGGTAATGCACCCCCCTCTCTGCACCTCCCCTCGAAGTCCCACTCCAGAGTGGGGGAGGAGAGGGAGGATTCGTTTTGGCCCATTTCTGTCCCCCATGTTTTATTCCTCCTCATTCCGCTCAGTGTTGTTTGTCTAATGGCATTGTGTGTCCCCTTTCCCCAGTTTTGTGGCATGAAGTGTTGCTTAGGTGCCTGAGAACCCAGGAGTCCTGCCTCCCTATTCTCACTCCATTAAGTGGCTCCTTAGACATGGCTTCTGTTTCTCCCCCATCCCCACCCCGGAGGAAGGACCCTGGGGTTTGCTAGAGGAGTCGCCTCCTCTTTTGCCCACTAGCTTGCATGCCCTTTTCAGAGGACTCTGGACCTCAGTCCTAACTGCTCAGTCCACCTTCTCTAAACTTTCTTGGCTTTCCTTTATCATTGCAAGCAGGCTGAAGGTCCAGGCTCCACGTCCCCTCCAGCCCTTGTAGTTTTTTTCCGCCATCTCAGAGGGCCTGGGAAGTCCTGCCTCCTTGGCTATTCCAGGTGCTGCTCTCGTCCCCTTCTTCCCCTCAGACACAGCCCCAGTTTTTCCACCAACGAACTCGGGAGTTCTCAGGTTTGGCTCTCATTACTTTAACGTATCAAACTGAATGATCCCCTGGGAGACTCCAGGAGTCTGGGCTTCTTGCTATTTCCCCTTCTCTCTCACAAAAGAGCCACAGGTCCTAATGCTAACTAAGCAAGCATTATTAACCAGAGTTGCAACATTGAGTTGATTATCTGGATCAACTAAAAATCTTTTGTCTTCTGAGTGACAATTAAAACAACAAACAAACATACAAAATGTTAATCATCCTAAATGCAAGTGATAATTACAGAAACTAAGTGGCAAGTACTATCTTAGAAGAGGAATTGCATGCACTGTCTGTCATCTAAAAGCAAGAGTTTGGTTCCTTCCAAATATTGTTTTTTTACATGTGCATTTAATATTTAAAATCAGCTAAATTGATCAGATTTCCTTAATTGCGTGACAGCCGTTTTTTCTCTCTCTCATTGCCTGCAGGATGACTGACATGGCAGATAACCACAAGGAGAGTTGGGCAGTACTGGTTGCTGCAGCAGAACAGTACCAGCGGCAGACAGGCAATGAGATTGTGCTGCTCACAGCCTTCAGGGCCCCACCCACTGGCAGCTTCAACTACACACAGCATGGAAAGGGGGCTCTGGCCGACGCTGTTCAACGCTACCTCGAAGATATTGCGGTTGTTCACAAGACTACTGCTTTCACCTATGTCACCCGTCCTCCTGCAGCCCCTCGCCCATCTCCCACTCATGGATCCTACTCCCGGAGTTATCCTCCTACCTGTGCCCCAGACCCTGCTCCCCATAGGACACCCACCCCCCAGGGGCCTTTGGCTCAAGCTTCTGGTGGCCCGGAACCTGAACCTGAAGATGAAGATGATGAAGGCGATAGGAATACTTTGACTGAACTGGAGCAGCCCGGTGGGAGAGAGCATCCCAGCGACACCACTGGTATGTATGTGCAGTCCATGGCTGATTGGTTTGCTACAAAATTTATATGCCACTCTTTCATAAAATGTTCAAACTGGCTTGTGATAACATGATTTTCAGACTATATAACCAATGCAAACTAAAGCAACTTATAAGCAAAACAAGTGTCTCAGCAGCCAAACATAAATTCTGGTTGCTTTATAAACGCTCATTGAAAAAACTATCCAGCTTTGGGCAGCACACTGAAAATATGGCAGTGACCTTCATGGCATTTGATATTCCTCAATCTAGGTGCTGCAGAACCTGGTTGTGATAAGGTCCACAGGTCAGACTGAAGAGGAAACTGGATTGCATATGTATTAGAGGGAAGAGATCCCATTAGTAGCAGAATTGGGTGCTCCTAAGGGTTTCAGACCTTTCTATAGCTACAGTTCTGGCAAAACTTGCCTTGACTGAAACAAAGGGTGCATTTTCAAAGTGTTGGGACTGGGGAGAACCACTGGGTTAACAGAAGGTCACCTAGCAGGGTTTATTTATTTATTTATTTATTTATTTATTAAAACATTTTTATGCCGCCCCATTCGCCGAAGCCTCGGGGCGGCTTACAACATAGGGTTGTGGCTGAAGTGAGCACAAGCAGTTATGCTCTTAACTGTTATGCTGTATAAGCATTTATCTGCTACACTTAGGGTACAATCAGGCATATTGTAGGATTTGTTCATGTCTGAACATGGATAAGATTGGCCTCTACAGTTTATTTTTTAGGGAGGGTGAAAAAACCATACCTTATGAGCTGCTTGCCTGGTCCTGTCTCCTTTTTTTTTCCTCAGAAACATATTACTTTGCAAATGAGCAAAATTATTAAATATTTTAACACATTTACATCCTTTCTGACCAACAAGGAACAAGTCTGCTAATATAACAGGAAAGCCCAATTAAAGCAATAAAACAGCAGCAAAATAGGGAATGGAGTTTCAGCAGTGGTAAAACCAGGCAACAGGTCAATTCAATTTCCCTTAAGCCCTAAAGTCCTCTGAATAGGAGGACCCCAATTCCACATTAACCTCTTTTATTCCCATTGGACCTTGTTCCTGATGCCCCATGTGTAGTGGCTGGGACCTGGGCCCTTTGTGGTGATGCCTAAAGCACTTTTCCCACTCCTGGCCCATGATAGACTGCAACTCCCATTATCCCAAGCTGGCATGCCCATTGGCTGCAGGAGCTTTATAAGAGTTGTAGTCCAGTGTACCTACAAGACATTGGGCTTGGGAAGGCTGCCATAACCCTAATAGTTGAGGCCAGAATCCTCCTTTGTAGCATCGTCTTCCTTTCCGAAGTCACAGCCTTGCAGCTGTCTGCTAGTTCCATTGCTGAAGCAGTTTAAAGGTTATATATTAAGCCTTATTCATTTGAGTTGTGATAATCTAATACTGTTCCTTTATCATGTTCACTAAGCCATTATGACTGGCCTGCTGAGCAGCTGCTTCTGTTCTCTTTCCAACTCTGCCCCTCCAGCCATTCCCTGCGTCTCCAACTATTCCCTGTGTTTCCCTGCTGGTCCTGTGGGTCAGTTTATCTAATTTCCTATATTCGCTTATGTACTCCCTTTCTGCCTATGTGCTGAAGGTGGTTCTCAGCTCCCAGGAACAAGTGGGACCTGCAGCAAACGTTGCAGTTTGGAGCGCTGTTTAGGACCTCTGAATTCCATTTCCTCCCGCTGCTGGTTTTCTTCCTCCCCCAGCCATCATTCCATGGTTACTGAGCATGCTGGAAGAAACCTTGCAGATTTTTTCTCAAGGATTCCACACTCTTGCACACCTTAGAAGAAGTTTGCCTGTAGCTCAGTAGCTCCCTCTTGTCGTGTGAGAACGGTGCTGTTACGGATACAAACATACCGGCACTCAGGAACTGAATGCTGTGCTCATTCATAAGACAGGCATGACATGAAAGGTACAGGAGGGAAGAGAGAAAAATGAATTCTAGTGCCAGTTCTTAGGTTGTTGTGGCACAGTGAGAGGGAGTAGGTATGAAGGAGAATCGTTCTGGGAAGGGAGCTGGTCTCAGTCAGGCTGCCAAGGGTGGCCCCATATGGCCTCCAGTGTAATGCCAGTCTGTGCCTGTTGCTGGAAGACACAAGCCAGAGGGTGCCGCTCCACCCTTATCCTACTTAGAGGTTTCCCTCAGGCAGCTGGTTGGCCCTGTGTTACGAACCGCTGTCTGGTCCAGCATGGCCATTCTTACGTATGACTTGCTATCTTGCCTCTCGGATGCAGCTGAAGGAAATAGCTGGTTGCTCAAGTCCAGTCCCAGCTGCCATGTTTCTGCAGGATACTGCCTTTGCCATTCTCACTAGGGCAATAGGAGGCATCCTTTGTCAGAAACTCCCCTCAGGAGAACCCCTCTCCAAACTAGCCAGGTCAGGGTAAAAGTGTCACAACATCCCCCTCTCCCAAATGGAAGATTGCCTCCTTAACTGTTGCTCCTTGCTTAAAAATAGGGCTTTGACCTTTAAATTAGGGACTTCAACTCAGGATCAAATGTACTCGCTAAAGAGTCACAATTTAGCCCCCTCTGTCAGCTTAGAAACAATCACATCACAGAGTAAACCTGTTACAAAGAACATGCTTGCAGGTCAATTTAGGAAAGGGATGTTGATACGTTGGTTCACCTGCACCTCAGTTCCCAAAATAGTTGCTGACCAGGGGCATAATTCAAAATTGGAGTGGAGAATGCAGCTCTCAGCAGACTTCATAATGGAAGAGAACAGTTTCCATGTAATGTTGCCCTGTGCAGCACAAGAAAATCTAGCGAAACTGGTTATCAAGTTACTGCCTCTGCGTCAACTCCTGTTTAGTTTATATGTTGATAGCAGATTAGGATGAGCACGGAATTGTCAAAAACTGAACACAGGTGCTTTGTCTGACCTTAACTCCAAACTCCCCCTCTCTGCAACCTCTTAATTCTGAAATATTTAAATAGTTTGTTCATTATCTAGGTGGAATTTCAAACGGAGACATGACACATATGGGCCAGGACAAAATGCCACAGAAGAGGGCAAGTGGGGCGTGATTTGCACACAGATCATAGTTGCATCTCAGCATGGTGTGCGATGACTTTAGGAACAGTTAGTCCCACTCAAGATGTACCGGCATCCATTGGTTGATGGATGCTTGTATAAGCAGCCTCCCTTGCTCTTGAGGCAGCAACAACTTCTTTGCACACGGTACTAAACCATGGTTTCTTAAACCCATGACTACTCAGGGTTTGTCTGGCAGATGATCAAATGAACCACCGTTTGTTTTCTCAGGAACCTGGTTGGTTGTTTCCTCCTCCTTCCTTCAGCTCCCTCCCCATATCTGAAATGCCCTTGCAGCACAGTAGTACTAGTACACCAAGCAGTTGTCTTTTTTTTTTTTTAATTGTTCTTACCTGCCGCTTTTACCCTGGCATAGCAACCAAACAACCCATGATTCTGATTGTGTACAAAGGGACAACCCATGGTTTAAATGACCCCCATCAACAAGACATAGATATCTTTCTGGGTTTTTTGTGATTAACAAACCATGATCCATTAGGACAACTGGGTTTGCACATCACGACAACCCAGAATTCCACAAGCTGTAGGCTAAAGAAACCAGGTGTTATTGTTACCTTCCAGCCAGGTCTGTGTTTTCCCTGAAGGACCAGTCCAGAGACAGCTGTACCTAGCCTTTGGATGAGGGATCCCTTTGCAGATGAGAATGGTAATTCCATTTTTTAAACAAACAAACAAATCCACTTCCAGGTTTATTTGTGATGGATGAGGATTCCCCAAGCCAGGACTATGAACCTTTCTTCGACTCCGATCTAGAGAGCACTGACGGTGAGTGGCACTGGGGAGGATGAACTAACTGCACACACAAACACACATATCAAGGACAGATAAAGACAGGACTGTCTCACATAGTGTCTGTTTAAACTATGGAATTCACTTCCAGAAGGTACATTGATGGCCATCAGTTTGATGACTTTAAAGGGGCATTCATTGGACAGATTCATGCAGAAGAAAGTCATCACTGGCTATATGCTGCTGCCAGTATCAGAAGTCGTATGCCTCTGTACACCGGTTGCTAGGGGAGATGGGGCAGGAGGGGGCTGTTACTCTTCTAGTCTTGGTCTGAGGCAGCACAGATCATCACATGTTCTTACAGTTTGAGTTATCTTCACATTTTCCCCATAAAAAGGTATTATGCCTGCTGAGATACCAAAATGCTGATTATTACACAAGCATGGCCTATTCTGGGAAATGTCTTCTCTTATACAATCCACTTTATTTCTGGCAGCCCCGTGGGAGGTCAAGCGCCAAAACCAGAGTATTGTGTTGATCAAGAGAAGGGGCAAGCAACCTGATTCCCCCCAGATCTTTTGGACTATAATTCCCACAATCCTTTACCAGTGCCTATGCTGGCTGGAACCTTTGGGAGTTGTGCAAGATATCTAGAGGGCACCTCTGGGTAACAGAAACTTGCCTTTGAATCGTTGCTTAGTCATGGAATTCTTGGGCTGGCCTTGAGCCAATTAAACCTACACTTCAAGATTGTCAGGAGACTTGTATGAGGTGAGATCCAGGTATAGTTATGCTTAGAATACATTTGCCTTGAAACCAATGGGAATTTAGTCATGATTACCATAAGCCTCATTTATTTCAATGAGTGCACTGTAAATATGACTAAGTGAGACCAACCCAAGGGCCATCATATTTTTCCAGAGTATTTTTGGAAAAAAAAAATGTTTTTCTACCTACCTCGAGTAATTTAGATGTTTACAACACACACACTGTTGGTTTGAAAGAACTGATATTTTTAATGTGACTTTTCACACCTTGTACATCTGATGAAATGTTTTGATAAAGATCCCGTTGAAGAACTATTATTAGTAAACCTGTTTCCAAATATTTTAGACTATGTGCACCTGGACATTATAGCCCCTTGACATTGCAAATAACCCTCACAGAAATTTGGTCAACCAAAGTGGCTTTATTAGGGTGACGGCCCTGCAGTCCCTAGAAGGGAGAAGCAGCATATTCATTATCTAGATCTGCTCTATTTCTTTTGCATTTGGGGCTCCCAAAACGGCATGTTCACTCTTCACATGGACATGGAGTGAATGGAAGTTTAAATTGTGAGCCATCTGGTAGCTGGGGGGTACCACTTCACACAAATTTAAATGTTAAGTGATATTGAGGATGCACTGGAGTGCAAAACCTCAGGCCTCAGGGGCCAGTGTGGCCCTCCTGCAGTCCCCTGATGTTTCCACTCCCTCCCTTGACCATTTGGTGGTTTTCTGGCACCTGGGCCATTTTTCCTCATTCTGAGAGGTTGACATGCCTCTCCGAAAGGTTTACTAACTGACAGTAAGAGCTTTGAGCTAAAACATGCTGTATTTTGGCCCTGCCTTCTTTTGGCATTCTGACAGAAAGAGCTTCTACACTCTGTATGATCACATTTATACTGCGCTGGTGGGTCATGGGGATTCTGATAAATGATGCCTGCTTTGTGCAAGATGCTGCTGCTTGTTAATTTTATGCTCTAATCCACTTCGCCCCTCGCCTCTTCCCCCCAGATGGAAGCCTGAGTGAGGAAGCCCCTGGACAGACAGCCCCTCCACCCCTCAGCCATCAGTATGCCAAATCTCTGCCGGTCTCGGTGCCTATCTGGGGCTTTAAGGAGCAGCGGCAAGAGATGCGATCCTCTGATGAAGAAAACAGCAAGGTGGGTTGTGTCCGAAAGGGTCTGTATGGGAAGGACAGCTGCTCTTTGGGAAGGGTGGACCCTCTCTCAAGTGCTTCACCTTCCCTTTGGGCCAGGTTTCATTGCAGGCTTGCAAACTTAGCACACATTCTGCTGAGAAACTGGTAGGCGTCTGCGTATTGCAAGACTGCACTTGGAATATATGGCTTTATATTTTATAAGTATATTTATATATTGTTTTATAGCAGAGCGATAAATGTTTCTTAACTCCTTTTTCTCCAAGGCCCCTTTTCCCGGTATTATTTCTATCCACTTCTTTGCTGTCCTATTTCTTTATCCACCATCCTTGCATTGAATGTTTACCTTGAGGACAATGCTGATGATTATATTATATCCTGCCTTTTTCCTCTCATGAGGAATCCAACCCTCGGAGTACTTCTCTTGTCCATTTTATCCTCACAACAACCCTGTGAGGTGGGTTAGGCTGAGTGTCCATGACTGACCGAAAGTCACCCAGTTAAGTGTTACGGACAAAAGGGGGCTATTTTCCAGCTTCCCAGCTGAACTCTTAGCCTTATACCACCATAGCTTTCAGTTCTAATTAGTCCTAAGTGCTTTATTACCAATCAATTCACAACACTGTGTATATCAGCTTGTATTGCAAAGAGTTTAATTTGTTTCACTTAACAAAAATATTTTCTTTATAAATAATCCAATTTAAAAAGGAAAAAAAAAACCCCGCTGCAGAGGTGTACTGACAAATGTGCCACACGGCCTCTGCCTCATCTACCCCAGCACAGGTTGCTGATGGTTCTTGCAATAAGATCTTTCCGTTCCTCCCTCTCACCCCCTCCAGTTAAGTGTCTTAAAAGATCCTTTGTACATAACCCGGGTTTATATGAAGATAGGCATGAATACGTACGGCCATTTTTAATGCGAAAAGGCAGATTTGGGCAAGGTGTTACTAGCCAGGCCTGTAGAATCTGCATAGCCTATGCATCTTCTCCAGGGTTCATAGAATAATGCAGATTTGTTTAAAGTGTGGGAATCGGCTGATTTGCTTGGCAAAAAAGTAGAAATTGCTGTAGAAAGGAGGATGTTTCGGATGGGTGGAAGGCAAGGGAGATGCTTGGTGGGCATTTGGGTAGATGGGTGGAGGGGAGGGCTGCCTGCAGCAAGGGGAAGCAAGAAGGCACGGCACATACGCCTCAGGTGTGCCTCAGGTGTGCGTGGTGCGGGGTCAAGGTACAGAGGGAAGAAAAGATTGCTGTGCCTCCTCACTTGCGGTCCTCTTTCAGCATTCATCCCCTGATCTCGAGAAGATTGCTGCCAGCATGCGGGCTCTTGTGCTGCGGGTATCAGATGGCACAGAGATGTTTGGTGACCTGCCTCGCCCACGCCTCAACACAAGTGACTTCCAGAAGCTGCAGCGGAAATACTAATGGCTCTGTCTCTTCCCCCGTCGGTATCCTCTTTTCTCCCCGACATACAGTGGTCAGGGTTGGAAGCTCCCCTCAAGCCATACAGTTCAAATCTCCTCTGTTCCCACCTAGCCTGAGCTCCCATAAGCTTTAATTTAAAAATGGCAACCTCATTTCCACACTACGGTTGGGCTGGAGGGTCTGTGTACCTCCACCCTAGAAATCCTGCCCCACATTTCTCCTCCTCCTTGGGTAATGAGGAGGTACAGCAGCCCTTCTGAGTGGAGTCTGTCTCTCTCTTACACACACACACACACACACACACACACACACACACGAGGAAAAACACTACAGAGGTGTACTGACAAATACACCGCACCACATCTGCCTCATGTACCCCAGCCCCGGCTGCTGGGGGTTCTTGCAATCAGAGCTTTCCTTTCTTCCCTCCCACCCCCTCCAGATAAGTGTCTTAAAAGATCCTTTGCACATAAGCTGGGTTTGTCTACAGTTTCGTTGCGATAAGTGTCCCTTTGTGGAACGGTGGGGAAGAGATCGTGTCATCTGGCTGCTCTCTCCCCCTCCCACCAGCTCCCTTTCCCACGAATGTCTCTCCCAGATTCCAAGAATGATATTTCAGGGTCTGCTTTTTCTATTGGGGGAGGGGGCTGCAAACATGAGGCTGCCTTCGGGCAGATGGAATGTAAACGGGGCTCTAGGAGTCGTGTACAACCCTCTGTTTATCCTCCCTTCCCTCTACCTTAGTATACTTTTGTATCAGATTTTCAAGGGCCTTTTCAGGTCCTGACCCTCTATTTTTGTCCAAAGATGATTGGTAAATCGGAAGGGAGAGGATGTATTTTTTTCTCCTTCCTGCCAACTTGCAAGCCAATAAAAAATCTGTCTTTTACCAACCCATTGGTGTATTGTCTTGACAGGCGATGGTTTAGATAGAAGAAGAGGTTCCCCTTTAAAGAAATAAGCTCTAACCAAAATACAAATACAGAACTGGTAACAAGCAGTGACTAAAATGTGTTATTTTATTGGTGCTTGGTATAGTTCTGTTATATACAAAAGCAACAGAGTTGAAGGGAGAGGGGGCATCATATAATACAGAGGGAACTAGGTAAGCGAAGAGGAAAGCAAGCCGTATGTAGGGGTTGTAGGGATATATGGGTAGTTAAAAGAGGAAGTAGTAGTAGAGATGAGCTCTTTTTAATGGGAGCAGAGGCAGCCTCCCTGGATCGAGAATATCTTTGTTCGCAGCAGTTGTGGCAGGAGTGACTAGCACGAATTAGCTTTAGCAGAGGCCCTAAGGCTTGAAAAAGAGGGCCTGAAGGAGGAAGAAGCAGGGAGGAGAAAGCAGACGAGTTCCAAGAGAACTAGCAATGCCCTTATTGCTACTTCGAGCATCATGTCCCTGAGCTACAAGGACTGGCTGGCAGGAGTATACACAGATGGACTCAGTCATAGTATTTTGCTGCCTTCCGGACCTGGCAGTACATCAGCATGGAGAACACAATGCCCAAGACCTAGGGACAAGAGACAAATCTTGTTATGGGAAAAAGAGAGGAAGTTCCAGCCCAGCCTGTTGCCCTCTTAGATCCAAGATGCCTCATCCGCCCCCCGCCTCTAAAATGCAGGAAGGCAACAGCTAGGGAGGTACGGCAAGTAAATTTCAGCTTTTGATCAGGAGTGTCTCACTTCACCTCTTTCAGACCAGGTACAGACTTGGATGCAAATCTGTGGTTGAAAGCGGCATGTTTCTGAATTTGCAATGGAATTTGTACTGCCACCACAAAAAAGGTTAACAGTGTACATATATTTGAAAACACACACATAAATCAGAAAAGAGTGTTCGTTGCAAAGATGCATGCACTTGATGTGTTAGGTGCCATCAAGTCATCTCCAATGTAGGGTGGCCCTATGAACGAACGTCTTCCAAAAGACTCTAGCTCCATGCTTGAGCACACCCTTTGCGGCGGATGGTTCCCTGTAATCACCAGGCAGGGCTGGGAAAGGCCCCTGTCTGTGACCCTAAAGGGCTTTGCTAGGTCCCTGTAAAACGGAGAGCTCAACAGGATGGTGATCTGCCTCAGTATAAGGCAATGTCCCCCATCTTCCCCTTTTCTAATTGGAGATACCAGGGATCAGACCTGGGGCCTGATGAATGCAAGAGCGGAGTGTGCTCATGAGCCGTCCTTGGGTTCCTCCCACCTAAAGCCAAGGCTGGAGGTAGCATCTGGTTACTGTGGCAAGTGGCAGAGGAGGGAACTGCTCTTGAAGAGTGTAACTCTTCACAGGATGGGGGCCATCTGGGCTGCTTGTTCTACCTGGGCATTAGGCCTATTTGGGGATAATTTATCCCACTGAATACATTATACAAAGATAGGCAAACTTTGCTGAACTTGCACAATCCCATTAAGGTGCAAAGTGGGCTTTTCCAACTCTCTCTCGATAGGCAATCTGCATTCTCTATGGCAAAGGTAACATGCAGCCCATGAACTCGGGGATTCCTTTAAAGTGGAAAAAAGTGTTTTTAGTGCTAGAGTGCCCCAAAAGTTAACATCTCATTTGCAAGCAAAATTTGCCCCTTGTGAGCAAGCTACCTTGGCAGTCTGCAGTGCTACAGATGACTTTCCCACCACCACCCATTGGAAGGGGGTCAAAGGCATCTCCCAGATCGCCCACAATTGCCCATCCGAGTGCCTGCTGTGGCAACGGGAATTGGATCCTTCACAACACTTTCGCACTTGCCCGGGTCACCGTCTACCATGACTGCACATGCCAACTCACCTGGACAACAATGATACAGGCAGCAAAGATTCCCATGGCAGAGATGTTCTCCCCAAGCCAGTCTTTCACCTTCTTATAACAGGCCTGTAAAGTACAGAATGCATAGTAAGCACAATCATCGGTAAGGTGGCTTGGGAGAATGTGTCTGTATTCTGTGCCACTGGCTTAATTTGGCACCCCAAGGATGACTGCCAGTGATAGGGAACTTGTAGGCCAAGACTCCCTCTCCATTGGTTATGGTGGTAAGGACTGATGGGAGTCGTAGGCCAAAACATCTGGCAAACTACATTCCTCCACTCCTGATTTAAACAAAAAATATATTTAGCAGGCAAGCAGCTGCTCCCGGAGCAGTGGCCTTTAGCTGGTTGACTGGGATACAGAAATTCTGTCCAAGCATGTACCTAAGTGAAGGTGGTCTTAAAAGCTTAAGCAGGTGTATAAGAGAGGACACTCTTGAAATGTTCTGGCATAGGACATTAAGCAGCAGGACTGCCACCCTTGCTAACAATCTCAGGAAATGAAATTTACTGAGAATGAAAGCTCTAAGAAAAGGCAAGCAGATTTCCAAGCGTAAAAATAAGAGCTGTTCTCCCCAAGGCAAACGGATGCCCTTCTTCGTAGTTCATGTCCATTCTTCCAGGTGGGGCTTTAGCACTAGGCAACCACTGGCTGAAGACAGCTGTGGCAGAGCGCATCTATGCACACAGACCGTGATTCAGGCCTCTGGGTCTCGCCACCGCCCCTTGATCAGGCAACAAGCACTACCAGCTGCCCCGTTAAAGGTCTCAGCCTGGAAACCAGCACATACAGCATGGCCCATTAAAGGTCTCTGAATGGAGTGAGAGCAAGCCCTGCCGCCTCCAACTCACCTCTGGCCACCAGCTGTTCCTGTCCTCTTGACAGGTCTCACTTTGCTGCAAACAGCAGGACTTCGGAACCCACGTTCTGTTACATACCTCAAACCAGTCTGTGTAATTCTGTACTCCACAACAGCGAAACTGGAAAGCAATGGGAAGAATCAGTCTCGGGGAAAATTGGGGTGGGAGAGAAGAACTTGATGTGGGGAAAAGCTACCAGAGGTTCCAACCTATTGTTCCTTAACACTCTGATTAGGGTATCAAAACACCTACCTCGTTCTGCACAAGGTCCCATGCTTTGGTTAACCCCAAGCTGTCCTCCTTCTCATACAATTTCAGCCCTTCTTTTAGGTTGGCCTGAGCATATCTGTCAAACTGGAGAAAAGATACAAGAGGTGTATCCAAATGAGCATTAGCATGCACCGAGAAGGTGGTTGGCTTTTTTGCTGGGTGGAAAAGAGATTAGTTTCTAGTTCCCATGGTGGTTATTAATATTTGGGTGGAATCAAACAAAACATTGTTTTTTAAAACCAAGAAAAAGAGGAAGCCCCCCCCCCATGGTCAAGGCAGGATCAACTTTATAAGTCACTCTTTACCCCAAAAGTTTGCAGCCCCCATTCCATATTAAAAAGTTTGGCTTCACTTCCCGTACCAAAGAGTTCAAAACCTCTGGGAAAGCAGTAAACAGATACTGAAACCAGCCTTCCCAATCTGGATGAATGATGCTGGCAATTGTGGGCCAGAAGGACACCAGAAACAAAGCAAATTCCACCGACCAAGGAAAGCATGTGACACTCTAGGTCATTTTTACAAGCAGTTGTATTTTGAGACTTATAATGACCACATCTTGTTTTGATGACTCTCCTTTACTGTTCCTACTTATCTCATTGTCTGAGTGCCAACGTGACAATCCTTGGCAGCCAATCTGGCACCATGAGCAGACTTAGGGGAACCCTACAATTTGCATAAGTACTAAAATGCACAGAGGGAAAAAACCTTCTATGGGGTGAGGAATCCTAAACAGTCCAATGAGGACAGGGGATGCTAAATCAGGATGGAGCACTGGCAGTCTGTTGAGTACAATCAGGTGACGGCAATCAAATTTTGGAAAAGACCAGCGCATCCAGGAAAGCGAGGCTGGCATGTTGTGGGGAGATCTAATGGTTAGCTTTTGCTGAAAACTCTGTGTTAGCTCAAAAACACAGTAGGAAAGGACTTTTCTAGTTCCAAAGCTGAGATTTCTGACAGCAGATTTCTGAGCTACTTTCACTCAAAGGAGATGCAAGATAGGAAACTGCGGTCTTCCGCTTACTGCATTTTAGAGGGTTATAGAGCAGACAAATTCATGCATGAACTTAAATTATGGTTTTCTGGCATGCCATACCGATTCCTGGAAGAAAAAACTGAGTGGAAAAGAAGACCAGCTAACACCCCCATGAAAGTCAAATGGTTATTTCACTTAGACATTCCAAACTGCTGTATCTCTTCCAAGGAAACTTGGAAAATACTGTACTCAGCTAGGGATGTAGCTTGCTACTTTGCTTCTGTCCTTCCTTTCACTTCTGTACCACCCAATAGCTGAAACTCTCCGAGCAGTTTACAACGATTCCTAAACAGGAACTGTGGATTAGGCTGTGGAAGTGATTCATTAGCTTATACAGTATGCTTGTTCCTGGTTCATTCAAATCAAGGCAGTTCACACTCTGAATCACTTTCCTCTTTGCACACATTCATTCCCTTTACACAGCAGGGGTGCTGAACCCCTGCCTTAGAGCCTGGGGAACGTTTTTTCAAGTGCGGATGCTGCAGGCAGCTGCTGTTACTTGCACACAGACTTAAACTATCTTGTATCTCCTTCCCCATAATAGAGATAAGCGTTCTTACCTTGTCCCGGCAGGTGACGAAAACCAACAGCCCAATGAGTTCCAGGAGAAAGAGGGTGGAAAGGACCAAGAAGAACTGGGGAGAGACAACCGGATCAGCAACCCCAGGCAAAGGGACAAAGTTTCACAGATGTGTGTTTTCATACAAATGTGTGAATTGCTGAAGCCAGAGCACCTCCCACCCCCTACCGTGCCCTCCTCTCTGGTTCATCCTTACTTGATCACACTTAAAGGTCACTTAGTTTAATCTCCCCAGCACCCAATCCTAGGTACATTTAGGAAGAAAAAATGCCTACAACTCCCAGCATGCTTCAGGCAGCCTCCAATCACCACTGCTAAACTTCAACAGTGTCACAAAAATACACTGTTGTGCTTCTCATCAATGACGGTACTCTGCCTACACTCAGGAGCTCACTTTTAATATATATAATTCTGCATTCCTACTGCACAAAATACGTTGCATAGATCTATAGTCTCCAACATAGTACCTATGGGTACCTTTTTTAGCACTTAGCAGTCATCCTGTCCTTCCTGATTTGTATTTTATTTCATAATATTTTTTTCATTGGAGGCTGGCCTGCTACAACCCAAAATACTGTCCTCCAGCATCATCATTTTTTTGGGTTCCAAAAAGTAGTTTTGCCCTTTGGAGCTCAAACCCCACCTCTGTCTTATACTTGGGTTTTCAAGCAAGCTATTTTTTTTTTTTTAGTCTCACTTGTTTGCCTTCTGGGGAATGTTTCGTGCCTAAGTCATGCCCATCGTGGAGGCCATTTTATGAAAGAGTAAGCCCCCTCCACATGGCAGCCATTTTGTAAGAGTGCCCATAACACCCTTCCAAAATTCTGAATGCGTCCACTATTCCTGAGGATGAACTCCAGTTCACATCGAGTCCTGTATTCACCAGCTTCTTTAGCTGACATCTGCCCCTACCAAAGGTCTCATTTCAGTCTGCTGTGCAGCTCACCCAAGTGCCATATCACACATGTCCGTGTGTCTCTCTCTTACACTTACACACACACACACAGCATAATAATGATGTAGAGGAACGTTTTACCGTCAGCAGCAGGCAACGATGTTCAGTCGCTGCCCCCAGACAGCCAAGGAAGCCGACAACCATGATGATTGCACCCGTGGCCATGAAGAGCCCGGCTGCAGACAGCGACGGGAAGGAGAACGATAAGGTGGCGAAGCGGCCCTGGGAAACGGCCAGCCACACTCCCACGCCGAGCACGCCACAGCCGCCCAGCTAGGCGAGAGGGAAAGGCCAAGGAGGAGAAGGTAAGGCTCACACCGCCAGGGAGTGCGAAAACTCAGTGCTCGCTTGTTTGTTTGTTTGTTTGTTTACGTATTTAAAGCTTTTATATCCCGCCCTTCACAATGTCTCAGGGCAGTAATTCAATAAATAAATGAGTAAGATACAGCATCCAGATAATAATAGATAAAATCCAGTCTTAAGACACCACTAACATTTAAAATAACGGGAAAATAAAAAGGGGTTGGCCTGGCACCAAAATGAAAAAAGCGTCAGCGCCAAGGGACACCTCTCTGGGAAGCCCATTCCATGGACTTTCCCTTCTTTTGCTCCAGGACACTGCTGTGGGAGAGATAATCCGCTTAATGACTCTCCTGATTTTTGTACCACTAATGCTTCCCTTTGTGTCCGTTACTTTTATACCAATAATACATAGCTCCTCTTCTCCCTAGTTCCTATGCAAAGTTTTTTTTTCTCAACAAAACTAGCCATTCACTTCGGCCACATCCCATTTAATAGTCTATTGCCTGCAAACAACTGAACATTCCATGACCTCACAGAAGTTCGTCCCACAGCAGTGCAAGGGAGTCCCTTTGTTCTGATTTAGAATTCTAACAGGCAAATGTGTGTTCCCGCCTCATTCCCTCTCACAACAGCCCTGCATATTAAGTATATGTTATATGTTGAATACCTGATAAATAGCAAGAGTGTACCCAGTAACCAGCCCTCCCCACGAAAACTGGAAGCATGCAGATGGTTCCATGGTATGAGAAGGCAATTGGACAGAGGTTTGCCTTTGAAATCATGTTAACACAACCTTCTCTGTAGCTGCAGGTTGGCAGTTCAACTACAACTCACCCAGAAGATGAGGTTGAAGACAAACATCTTCACTTTAACACAGAGCAAACAACCACGGCTGACCCCCATGATGGATGGATCTAGGGTGAGAGAGAAAAAGCCCTTTTCATACATGGCACAAGAACTACCTGGTTTGCCATTAAAGATACACTTGGCAGAAAACACAAGCAATCCTGGCTCCTAAGATAACAACAAAGAGTTTTCATTATAATGATAACAATAAGTAGTAAGAAACTGCATGGAGAACAATTACAAGTAAAATTAGAACAAATATTATGTTATGAAATCAGCTATATCATGCTCTTGTGTGGAATAACCTGATCAGGAAGACAAAGATGCATGAAAATTACATTATTTATCTGTTTTTAACAGTTTTGGGCCTGTGTGAAAATGGAGAGTCTTTTTAAGTAGAGATAATTCCAATCACCTAGTAGCATTCCTAAACTGTTTAGGGTAACTGGTGTAGTTCAAGGGTTATGCACACCTTCTCTCTCTCTCTCTCTCTCTCTCTCTCTCTCTCTCTCTCTCTCTGTGTGTGTGTGTGTGTGTGTGTGTGTGTGTGAGAGAGAGAGAGAGAGAGAGAGAGAGAGAGAGAGAGAGAGAGAGAGATTGATTGATTGATTGATTATCTGTGGGTAACCTTAACCATGTCACTGGAACAGAGCCAGGCCAAGATATATTTTTGTCTGAGACAAAAGACAAGATAGCATTGCACCCTGTTCCCTTCCATGTGTAGAAGCAGACCAGGACTGACAGTTCTTGTTAGAAACAACATCAAGAACAATTACGTTTATATCCTTCCCTTTTGCAAGGATCCCAAGGCAATTTACATACATGTTTCTAATTTACATAGTTCTCCTTCTCTCCAATTTTATTCTTACAACAACCCTGTGAGGCAGGCCATGTTGAGAGTTAGGGAGCAGCCCAAAGTCACTCGGTGAGGTTCATGACTGAGTGGGGACCAGAGCTTGGATCTCCCGCATCCCAGGCCCGGCTCGGAGAGGTCTTCCCGTTAGCACGTCCTTTCAGCACTGGGTGATGGGGCAACACCTTCCCTGTTACCAGAGGGCAGCAGGTTAGCTTAGGGGATGCAGGACACACACACCCCTGTCCTCCAACAGGTCACCTTCACTCTCCACCCCTTAGCATCTGCCACCTGAGACAGTTGCCCCACTGTCAAACATCAAGCAATATAACATTACATTTATTGTTGCTGCCTCAGCTAAATTGAAACTTGTTGTTGCATTATATTTTTATCTCACTCTTTTTTTTCTCCTGGGGAACCCAAGGCAGCTTATATAGTCCGGCTCCCCATTTTATCCTCCAACAACCCTGTGAGATGGTGAGACTGAAAGTGAGTCTGGCCCAAAGTCACCTAGTGATCCTCATGGGTTCTAGAATCCAAATCTCCTGGGTCCTCCATCCAACCACCTTGCTATGCTGCCATTTTTCAGCTCACAATTTGTATGAAAAGATGCCACTGTTTAGAACTATAGGACATTTTGGAATTTGAAGACGATAAATAAAAGGTTTCTTGGCCTAACTGGGAAGGTAGGGAGACAAGGGCTAGGAAAGTGTAGGAAGGGCTTTTGTGGACTCTCAGTAAACTGGAAAGATCATCTCATGGTCACAGTAGAGATTCAATTATAAAGAAAAAGAAACACACACATATTTAAAGAGAATTTGTTGAGCTTACTTTGTTAGACGTCTCAATAATTATAGTGCTATCATCTCAGTACAGGTCGCTTTTATTGTACCTTTTAAAGAAACCTAGAGTTAGTTGTGTCTGGGGTATTTTTGGACCCCAGACATAAATCTGCCTATGATAAGGCTTAATTTCCCAATAAAAGTCATTTTTTGATTTACTCTTTCCCCTAAGGTTACAAATGACCTAAGAGAGCCAATTTGGCTGTGCAATATGGTGGTTAGAGTGTTGGCCTGACCCTCAGTCTGGGTCCTAGTCTCAGCCATAAAGCTCAGTGGATGACTTTGGAACAGTCACTCTTAGCCTAACCTATCTTGCAGGGTTGCTGTTCTGAGGATAAAATGGAGGACAATGTAGGTAAGAATCTCCATGAAATAGATGTATTTTTATGCAAATTACACAATGGAATGTTAGCCTGGAGTAGGGCAGTCATTCCAAAATTAGGGATACAGGTAATTAGACCAAAGAGATGGATGACTTTGAGATACAGACCTGGCACTTAGGCATGGTTAGGTGTTCACAACAACATTGCATGTATCTCCCACTCTGTGCAAAAGTAGCATGGATGGTTTTCACCTGTTCTGCCCTCCCACAAACCCTGTGAGGTGTAGCAGCTCTCAGAAGTATTTACCCCCAGTTTGACTTTCCTACATCTTGTTGTGTTACCAGCTGGAATTAAAATGGATCTAACTGGCACTGCTTGTATTTGATGTCCACAGGATACTCAACACTGTGAAGGCACAATGCTCCTTTTCCTTCCTCCAGGATCTCTCAATCCAAAGCTCCACATTTGGACATCAAAATGGAGGGAAGAAAAATTCATACTCGGCTTCCATACATGTGGCTTTAAAAAGAAGATAAGGGTGAAACAGTGCAGGATTTCCATGTTTCGAACTTCTAAGGGCTATCTACTGATCTTTCCCCTTCTTGAAAACTACAAAGATTTCAAATGCAACCAGGTTTTGACACATTTTAAAAGTTACTTTTCCTCTTTATCTAAAAGATTTATTAATTTCAATTTGCCTTTCTGCGAGAAAAAGGGGGGAGAGGCACAGGATGATATGCATTTATCCTGTTCTAGTGAAGGAACTAAGGAAGTTGAAGCTGAAACCGATTTTAGTTCTAAAATGAAAACAAAATAAAATATAATTTTAAAAGGGGACAGAGCAATGGCTATCTTAGTCTTCTGAAAGTACCCTGTCCACATTCACACATTATGGATTTCCTAGGTTCTCTTGCTCTCAATATGCTCAGAAGAAGCTGGTATTGGGAGGGGAGAGCTGGAGTTCATCTCTCCACTGTTACTTAGACCACAGAGAAAAAAATTGCCAAATTTTACACCCCCATCTCTGCCCAGTTTTTAAGTCTGTCTTTCCAAGGTCCTCCTGTATGCATCCTTCCCACTTCACATTTATATTTTGCAGTAAGTGAACTCAAAATATTTCACGTTGAACAAAAATAACATGTGATCCCAATTTCAACCCCCTTCTCCAGTTCAGATTCAACTCCGTCCTCCAATCCTAGATTTGGATTGATAGAAATACTCGATTTCCAAATGTGAAATGGTCGAATATATTTCGAACCTGCATAACTCGGTGGGTGTGTTTTTTCCTTAAGTAATTTCCCTTAAAACTTGGGTGGAGGGGGAGAACAAAACAAAGAAAGCCAAATAAGATAAAATGCAACTTTTGGATCAACCCTCTTTCTTTTGTCTCTTAACAAAGTACGTACACCTCTGAAGGAAAAGAAGCGTCGTTGCCAAATCGCCCCCCACCCTTTCCTGAGCTTGCGTAAAGGGACAGGGTAGAATCAATTCTATGGGGGGCCGGAAATATTCAGTAGGGCAGAAATCATCCCCCGTCCCGGGAAGAGAGATGCCTCCTTCCCACTTCATAACTTCAGTTCCTCGTATCTCGCCGCTCCCATCCCTCATTGCCCCCTCATCATACATACCCCTGTGAGCCCGCACCTTGGCCTCGGGGCACGAGAGGCTGGAAAGGAGCGTGGATTTGGGGCAAGAGCCCCCCCTTTCCCTACAGGCACCTAGAAAGCTGCTTCTCCGCGGGGATGCAGGATAGAAAGGGAGGGGGGAGCAAATTCCAGGCACGGGACAGGGGGAAGGAAATGGGAGGGGAGAAAAGGAGCAGCGATGGGGAGGGCGTGTTTGAGGAACTGGGGAGGAGTCCGGGGGGGCTCGAAGAGGGGAAGGGATTTCTACTAAGGCAAAGGAGAGGATGTCCAAGCATGCCTGAACCCCAGCACCTCCTGTCCACCTTTCGATACCCCGCCCTCCCCCCAGCAACGACAAAACCCACCCAGCTGCACTGCGTTCCCATCAGATGCATGGCGTCATTTTTATTAGGGGGATTTTGCTCAGAACGCCTTTCTTTGACGAAGAGTTCTGCCTGACTCGAAAGCCGGCGTCCAGCTTTTTTTCCCCACCCGGCTATGCTTTTATTTCTGGTTCCTGTGTCTCTTTAGGAAGAGAGGTTCGTGATTATAAGGTTATTATTTATATGAGGCCGAAGCGTTTAAAGAATATGCTTGCATTCTTTCCATTTGTTTCAGCCAGGCTTTACAGGTTAATTTTTTCAAGCACGTTGATTGAATTTTTACTGCAAATTTAAACTCAACACACACGCTTAACGTTACGTTTCGCTTCTCGCTCATGCTCAGAAGACTTTAGGAACGCTCTGATGCCTTTCTTCTTAAACCGCAGTTAACTACCCCGGTTGTTACTTCAAAAGTAGGTTACTTCGCTTATTTCCACATTGCCAGCACGTCTTCAAACAGCCCTGGTTTTCCTAGCGAGCGGGGCGAGAGAATATTAAATTGGCAGCATTTAGAGTTATGCAAGCAAGGTACTTCACAGCTGGATTTCCTACTTCTGTTGGAGAGGAAAGCTGTGGGTACACACCCTCCTCGCATAATTATCTCCTAATCCTCACAATAACCCTGTAAGATAGGCCAAACTTACCATGCACGAAAGAGAAATAAGAGAGGGAGAAGGAAAAAAAAATCTAAAAGCAATGTAATAAATTCTCCTGTAAAACAGAAGGGAGTGAAGAGGGGGAAAGCAACTTGCATGAATGTGAAATCTTTTATTTAATTACTTTTATTACGATTTTTAACAAATCAAAACAACATAGATTAAAATTTAACATTAAAGCCTTAAAAGGCTAAAATAAGTATTGCACGTTTTTTGCACAAGGGTTAACTACATCCGTTGTAAAAATCCTGAGGCTGCTAACAAAAAAAAAAACATCCTCCACAAATTAAAGTCGTTTTTCATCCAGTAGGGGAATTTCGGACTCCGTTAGGAAGGGGAGGAGCCGCTTCCCTTCCTCCGCCTCTCGCCGCGGTTCCGCTGCCCTTTGCCGCCCTCTCGCGGGCGGATCGAGACATAGCGCAGGTTCGCGGGCGGCCACGCTGCTGCGCCAGCATTTGGGAACGAGCCGAGGCCGCGAGCAGCAAGGCAGAGCCGGAAGAAGGTGAGAGCCCGGGGTGGGGGGCAGAGGAGGAGGAAAGGTTACGGGGCTTGCGGAGGGAGATGCTCCGTTCTAGCGGTCTGCTTGGCTGATGGGGCGGAGGACAGTCAAGGGGGGCATCGAGTGAGGAAAGGGGCCGAGTTAAGGGGGGAAACTGGGGAGGACAGGCGAGTTTAAGGGATCCCAGGAGAGCAACGGCAGCTCAGATAGCGCCCCTCCCCCAAAAAAAGAAAAATTGGACAGAGCTGGGGCTGGGGGAATGGGGATCGCGCTTAGGCCGCTTTCTGATTTCCCGGCATTGCAACGGTGCCAGCGGCGTGAAAAGCAGAAATTCAGCCGGTGCAGCTAGTGCGCTAACACGCGGACGGGGGGAAGCCACATAGGTTGAATTTTGGGCTGCATACGGAGGTCAACCAGCAAAAAAAAAGCCACGAGTGAGGGGTCAGCTTTGCGCTTTCTCCTGCCTGCACCAAATTTGTTTATAGTAAGTATTCCCCTAAGTTGGTGTCCCCACAGAGCGCCTGGGGGATGCTGGGAATTGTAATCCAACCCTTCTGGAAAGCACCAGGCTTATCTGTCTTTTTTGCCTTGGAGTTTTGACTGATTGGCCCTGCGGGAAGTTAAGAGAATGTGATAAGGAGGTGTAACAAACAGGCGCAGCTTTTCTGATACACTGAGGCCTTGTCTCACCTCCTCTTTGCTGTCTTCCGAAAATAGGCAAAACCACATCAGGCCCTTCAAAGCCCCCCACCCCCACCCCGGCTCCTTGTTGTTCCTGAGAATAAAGTGTAGTTAGCACTTCCTTCTTCGAAAGGCTCCTCAAGAAATATTCCTTCTGTTTACTTCCACTTGCACTGCCTAGCCTGTGACAGAAGGTTGCGGTCTTGTGGGTGATTTGGAGGGCTGGGGCGAACTGCAAGGAAAGGCAGTGGCCCTAAGGAAGATGTGCCTGTTTGCTTCTTCTTGCTGCTGCTAGTATACAGAGATGGAGCAGGCGAATAACAACATGTAACTTTAGGCATGGAATGTGGAAAGTCTTCAGGTTGGTGGGGTCTACATTGCTAGTTTCAGTAGAAAAATCCACCAATCAAAACTAGGGGAAAATAGTGGGTCAACAGGGTAGGCACTTAAAATAAGTGTTCCCCCAGTACTGCTTATTTCAGATAGTGTCAAGGATCTGCCTACCACAAGGCAAGGGTTCAGCATACAAGAAATTCCTCCATCCAATTTGCGGGAATCCCTACTCCTTCCTGCACCGTACCACACCCCACCCCACCCCACAGCTCTTGACTTGCTGTGTAGCATTTTAATGGGGTAGAGGGTCTGCCAGGGGAAGACCACTTGAAAATTGGCCTGCTGCCTCCAGTGCCACTTATCCTCACAACAAGAATAATGTAGATTGTGCTGACTGGCCAGAAGGCATGCTGAGTGAGGGTTTGCATTTAGGTCTATCAAGTCTCTAACCACTATGCCCTAGAGCTCTTTGGTGGCGGCTGCCCATGAGATTTTGTTGCCTGAAGCAGAACAAAAAATTGTGCGCCCATCCCCAAATCAAGGTGCATAATATCCAAAGTGGGTCCAGTTAGAACCTGACACAGAAAATCCCAGCAGACCCCTTGGGAATAAAACCCTCAAATCAATAAAGTAAAAATAAACAATTTGCTGTTTCATGACACCAGAGCAATCTCCTAATTCAGCCTAATAATTAGGCCAGACTTGCTCTTGCTCTTAGATAATTGTGTTTGTGGAACTCTGATTATATCACAGGAGTTGAGGGGACTGAGAGTGAATGGCCCACTTGTGTTTGTGGCTGAGGCAAAATGCAAGCCGAGTAGTTCCTAGCTCGCTCCTAGATGTTGCTACACAAGCTCCTTCTTGGGTTGGCTTAGAGAGCTGAATAGCCAAGACAGTGTTGGTGAGAGGAGGAAAAGATGGCCCTAGCGGAGACATAAATGATTCCTGTTTTCAATTTTTTCCCCGATACAAACATTTCTCTCCAGGCCGCCATAATGATCATCCCGGTTCGATGTTTTACCTGTGGCAAGGTTGTAGGCAACAAGTGGGAAGCATACCTGGGCCTCTTGCAGGCTGAATACACAGAAGGGTGAGTTTAAGGAAGGTTGGATTGCTTATTTGTTTACAGGTACTAGAATTTTCACCCTGTCTTCCAGTGTATTGTAAATTCAAGCCTTGATGTTAAAACAAGGCAATATAACAGGGGTGTTCAGGGCTTTGCTTTCCATCCTGAAATGCATTTGTCCCAAAGCTAGAACTCTTGGATTCAACACCAGTGCAATATAACAGTAAAATTCATGAAAATATAGTGAATAAAAGAGCAGATGGCAGAAGCTGGAAAACAACAAAAGCAGTTTAAGCAGGTGAACCCTTAATAAAAAAAAATCCTTAGTAAAAACCATCTCCCAGGATAAAACTGCCTTACAAGTACAAGTAGCAGGGAAATGAAGAGGTGTTCTAAGGCAGTTGCTCCATACTCTCAGTGCCATGCCGATGCCTCCCGTGAGCCAGCCACTTCCTCTCTTGGCCTAGCCTGGTTACAAAGATAAAATGGGTGAGTGGGAAGAACTAGGCACCTTACCCAGTGCTTGCTGGCTCAAGAATCCATATTCGTGCAACAGATGCATTAAAAAGCTAAGTAGAGACAGAAAACAAGCATGTACTGGGAAAGAAGTTCCATAATTTCAGCTTGTCCAAAAAGAAATTGGTTATCTGGTGGCAACAACAAAACATAAGCCCCGTGCTGAAGATGCTAAGTTTTGAGAGGGCCTCCATGTCATTTAAAGTGACTGGAGCAGGCAGGGAGATCTACATTTCTGTTTAAACTGGCTTAGGATTTTGCCCTTGGGGTTAACAACACTTTAGATTGATCCCAGAAACAAATTGGATACTTATGAAGGGTTTTTTTTTTTTAAACGGTGTGGCAATAATGTACGTATTGGTTAACAGGCTAGGCAAGTGGTGGCGAACCTATGGCATGCAGAGCCCTCTCTGTCGGCACACAAGCCCAGTCGCCCCAGCATCGCCCCAGCAGCCAGGGACTGGATAACAGCGCACATAGGGGCCATGGGCACGCTCAGAAAAGAGTAGTGGTGCCAGGCGATGACGTCACAAGCCGCGACACATTAACCATGACTCATCTGAGCTTTCACATGGCTGGTCAGTGCGCTGCCAAGGAGAGAGAGAGAGAGAGATATTTGCTTGGACTGGCTGTTTTCAGGTTTTATTGCAGTGTTGGCACTTCGCAATAAATAAATAGGTTTTTGGATGCAGTTTGGGAGCTCGGTCTCTAAAAGTTTCACCATCACTGGGTTAGGGTTCAAAAAAGAGGTGTCCTGGCATGATTTGAATGATCGGAATGTGTTTAGAATGGGCAGAAATGTTGGGCAGTGCAGAAAAAGCTACTCAAGGCTTTTTCAAAATTGCCCTCTTTTCAGTGGAACTTTAGCCCTATATTAAGGTTAGGGGAGTGCACCAGGCTAGGGTTAGGCCAATCGTGGCAAACCTTTGGCATGCCTGCCACAGTGGGTATGCAGAGCCCTCTCTGTCACCATGTGAGCCAAGTTGTCCCAGCATCGCCCCAGCAGCTGAGCATCGAGTAACAGCACACATAGGGGCCATGCGCATGCTTGAAACGGAGTTGCGGTGCCAGGCGATGACGTCACAAGCTGCGACTCAATACCCACGACTTGTCCGAGCTTTCACATGGCTGGTCAGTGCGCTGCCAAGGATAAATATATATATTTGCTTGGACTGAAGTTGTTTTTTCTAAACTAAAACCTGAGTTTTCAGGTTTTATTGTAGTGTTGGCACTTTGCAATAAATAAGTGGGTTTTGGGTTGCAGTTCGGGCACTCAGTCTCTAAAAGGTTCGGCATCACTGGGCTAGGCACTGTGTTTTGTACCAGTTTGTTTGGTATTTATTCAAAGCATTTATACCCAAACCTTTAGCCAAAATGTCTTCCAGCATGGCTTCAACAGATAAGTGGCACAACAGTTTAAATACTAATTATAAGACCTAGCTCACAGGAGCAGGAGCAAAAAAGCAAGTTAAAGTTGCCTGCTGGACTGGATGCTGCTAAGGGATTGCTGAAGCAGAACCAACCAGTTGGGAGCTTCTTGACTGTTTTCTGGAGCTGGCCGATCTGCAAGACTAGTGCACTAGATGAAGGTAGATAACTGTGGCCAGCCTTTATCTACCCCAAAAAGGAGGCTGGTACACCCAAGAGTGAATGAATGCATGATCTGCAGAAAATTAGTAAATGATACCTTTTTGTGCCCCGGAGATAGGCATGTATTGTGCTTTTCATGCTGCTTCAGTTTGGAAAAGCTTGTTCTATCAACTCTGAATTAAGCTGCTTTTGCAAGGCACAGGAAGAGAGGGCAGTAGAAAAGTTGACAGAGGAAAAAAGGGTCTATAACTTGCAGGCCCTTCTAGGAAATATACCTAATTCCTTTTCCATTGCCTTCTTCAGGGATGCTTTGGATGCACTTGGCCTGAAGCGCTACTGTTGCCGGAGGATGCTTCTGTCACATGTGGATTTGATTGAGAAGCTTCTGAACTATGCACCCTTGGAGAAGTAGCATGCTACCCCGGATCAGTCACAGGAGTGGGGCTGGAATATTTCTGTCGTGTGGATTTACAGGCATACCTTCACACCTTCCCTTGCAGTTTGATCCATTTCCTTAGTATGTATGAAAATGACACCTTTCCACTAGAGGGTGCAGTTGTACAATGGAAGGATTCCATCTCATTCCGTTATGTGGAATAAAGAGAAAACGTCATGAACTATCTGTCCATGAATATGTCTTTCCAACCTCTTAAAAGGGTTAATACAATTGATCTGTTCTCAGGTGTGCAACCCAAATGAAACAAAATTCTCAGGATTGGGAGTGGGACAGGGGGTGGCAACCGGGAGAGTGAAGGACCTATGATAGTCTTTCTCTATTTTCACCTTTTCTTCTGTATATTAGTGAAAATGCTCCAGAACCATTGATATGGCTCACTTGAAGGCAAGATGCAACTGATGCACAAGCTTAGTAGTCCCCAAAGTGGTGCCCTCCCACGTGGCTTGGAGGGGCAATAGATGTTGCACATTTGGAGCCCACTGGGCTGGGGAAGGGAAGGCTGCAGAGGGGCAAGGATGGTCAGGCACCTGCCGAGGGCCCACTGACAGGAGAGCCTGCTTCACTGTCGGAAGCTACTTGCTCATCTGCCTCTCCTGGCGGACGCAAACCGTGGTGTGGAAGGAGCGGCAGATGCTACAGTCAACTTGCTCTCTGCTTGTCAAGCAGGTAAGCAAGGCCCATGAGAAAGGGCATGGGAAGTGAAAGCAACCAGAGACAATGGTGGTAAGATGGCCAGCTCACGGAGGGTGGGGCCATGGAGGGTGCCTTGTCAAAGCCCCATTAACCACCTGGAATTGGCACCGGGTGAGGAGAGGCGTGTAATGGGTGCTGTGCCAGAAACTAGGCCACAAGAGATAGTGTCAACATTTGCCAGAAGGAGCAGGCACCTTTGAACTAGTATAGGAGCACTTTTGAGCCTGCCTTAGAGCTTTTCCTGGTGCAGAATTTTGATGCAAGTACAAAGCAACACAGAACCAGGGCCAATTCAGAGCTTAGAAACAAATGCCAAGCAGCAACAGCTTCCCATCTTGTCTGCCCATTTGACCTACCAGGCTCAAGTCCAAGTGCTGCAGGAGATAAGGCAGCCACACCTTCTCAAACCTGCCGTTCATCTACTTCCCCTCCACGTATCATACAACCTGGACCTCTGATCAACTACTGCAGGTTGGAAGGAAGGGCAAGAACTGCATTATTCTCGTCTGCTTCTGGAAAAAGTAGCATAAAAAGCAGTTCTTCCGTTTTGAACTAGGCAAGCTAGACTTGTCAGTCTTTACTAAAATTCATTCATTTCCTCTAAGATCTTTGCCTCATCCAGTCTGTTGGCATCTGCGTGTTGGCCTACAACTCTCATCATCCCCAGTCAGAGGTCTTTCCCATCACCCGCTTACCTAAGCTATCAAATTATGTTCACAATCCCAAGAAATTTATCTGGGCTCTCCTGCATGCCCGGAATGAGCTCCAGCACCGAGCGTACAGCGAAGAAACCTTCCGCTCTGCAATCAGACCAGGCATGTGCAGAGCTAAAGCACTGTATTTCCTCCATCTTCTCCAAGGGTAGGAACCACAGTGTGGGTCAAGTCAGTTTAACAAACCCTTTAATAAGTGCTTTCCAAGACTTCCATACAAAATGTAATACAGCAGAGGTGGGGCCCATGTGGCCCTGGAGGGACCGTTGCTGCTCCCATCAACCCTGGATGGCCTAGCAAAGGGCGAAGAATTGTGCAAGCCGCAGCCCTGGGCACAGCCATCAACGTATCTTTACCTTATGTTTACCTTGAGCTGGCCTAGCAGCAGCTTTTCCCTTGCTTGCTCAAATACATTCCTTCTTGTGCCCAAGCGGCAGCCCTGCCTCTTAGCCGCAGAATCACACCATGCTCCCTACTCTGGACTTCCCCCTCCCTTCACACTAACCACAATTAAGGGACAGGGCAGAGCCAGCCTGAACCACACGTAGCGCTGTGTCTTCCACACTGAAAAAAAGCACACAGGATTTGAAGTTGCTTCTAAATATACCGGGGCTAATGATGTAGCAGTGAGAATGATTTATGACTAAGTTCGAGGGGCTGTAAAGTGTATGATTCCACTGTCTGCTTCTTTCGCAGTCCAACCCAGGGCTGTCCTAACGCCTCAGGTGATGGATGCGGAGGGTCAGGAATGGTGGTGAGGTGTCTCAGAGCTGCGTGTACAGCTGAACTTGCCCTTTGCTCCCTAAGCGAGACCTGCCGCTCTCACAAGCAGGGGAAGGCGCTCTGCTGTTGCACTGCTGCAAGCCAGCTGCCAGCCCAGTTGGCCCTTTTGAGCGAAATCTCGGTGGTGGGGGTCGGGGGGGATACTGTGCTACACTGCCAGTAGCAAAATATTTGGGGCTGGCTCTGACAGCACATCAGTCAGCAGGGCAATGACAAGTAAATGCAGGCCTACAAGATCCAGTTGTTAGTTCTGGAGTTCTTCACAGAGCAACTCACTTGTTTTTCTGGGCACACCACTGTGGCATGGAGGCAGAGGGAAGGCCCCTCTCTATTTCTGTAGCTCTAGGCAGCCGTGCGGGTGCTTTCAAGTAAAATAGGGGTGATGGTGGCGGTTTCAACCTCTTTATTTTTTTTCCTCATGAATGTAACCATATAAAAACCATAAGTTATGAAAGTCACACGATGTCAGCTTTCAAAGGGGCAAGGGACTTAAAAAAAACCACCCCCACCCCCCAGGGGTCTGGAACAGGGAATTGAAGAGGGGAAGTACAAAACCGTCGGTGAAGGAACAACACCCACAAAATGGAGATGCCCTTTCCCTCCCACCCACATCTCCACACATCCTCTTGATTTAAAAAAACAAAACAAAACAAAAAAACATCACACACACATCTTTTGACACCCATTCCACCCTGCTAGTGGATGCTGGATAGATGTGTGTACACCAGAAAATCCAAGCACTATTAGCACTGGAGATGATAGTGAGAGGAGCAGAGGTAACTCTAGAAAAGGGCACGGGAGGGAGAAGAATTCTAGGCAACACAGTTTTGTCAGGGGAGACCAACGATGGTTTAACAAAAACAAAATAAAAAAATCATGATGGATGCCTGCTGTCAGCACTCAGGCCTCAGGACAAAAGGACGGAAGGACAAACCACATGTGTCTTCAGTTGTGCTAACAGCCTCAAGTTCATGGCTGGGGGGCAGGGCAATTTTGCAAACAAAGGGCAATGGGGTTTTGGAAGGGGGTCTTGGCTATTTCCCCCAGCCTCTAATACTGACCCTCTCTCTCCTTGCTGGCCCAGAGTTGCAGCAACAGGGAACTACACAATGAAATGAATTAGTGATACGTCAACTGAATAAGACGAGGGAAAGGGTTAGCTCTGGGTGCAAGGGTGGCTGCAGGAGGAGGAGAGAAAAACTGGCTGGGGGCAGATGGACTAACGCATCCGGTAATCCGTTGAACACGACAGCTCACACAACTGGCCCTTGAAGTCCAGGTCAATGGTGAAGTCCAGGTCTCGCTGTACATGGGACAGAGAAGGGAAAAGTGTCACAAAGCCTTATTTCACCCAAGATGCTCCTCCTCACACCCTTCCCCTCTGAAAGAATGGGGGGATTGCTCTCCCTTTTCCCTGGAAATAGCCTTTTTCCTAGCATCTTAACACACTCGTTCCCAGTCCACACGCAGTGTGTTGCTCATGTCTGCATCACACAACTGGGCCACCAACAAATGCATGCCCGTACTTGAGAGCAGTGCCGTGCCCTTGTTCTTCTTGTGCCTTCTCCAACCCAGCAACCTTCAACTCTCTCTAAATGCCACCAGGTGCGCCTTGCTTTGAAAAAGGTGTTTAATATAACAAAAGGTGGAGAGAGGGAGAGGGAGAGATTTTTCCACCTTTCTCATAACACTAGAACCCTGAAGCTGACTGGTAGAGGATTCAGGACGGATAAGAATACATACTTCACTCAGCACTTATTCAAACTATGGAATTCACTGACAAAGGAAGCAGTGATGGAGGTCACCAATTCGGAAGGTTTTAAAAGGCAACTGGACAAATGCATGGAGGGGGAGGCTACCGGTGGCTACTTGCTGGCCATGTTCTAGCAACCTCTGCTGTTGGGTGCTAGCTGGTGCCTGTGTGCACCAGCTACCAAGGAGCTTGGGCAGGCAAAACTCTTCTGCTCATCCTGCTTGAAGGATCCTATGGGTAGCTGGTTTGCCTAGTTTGAGCACAGTGCTCGACTAGATGCAGCACTGGTCTGATCCGGCGTGACTCTGCTGATGTTCTTATCTGCCAAGTGTCACAGGATACGATGCAGCTGAATACTGGTGGCAGTGGGGGGACAACTTGGGAGGGCCTCTGATTTTGACTTCGCAGTCACTGAGCAACTATTGTCCAGTTAAGATCACAAATTCCAAGGACGCCACCGGCGGCTCTGGCCTGACACTTTGTGGCTTGGGGCCTTTCAAGGAATGCACAAGGCCAGTGGGCATGATCGGCGACGCTTCCTGCTCTTCCTATTCTTCCCTCTGTGGTTATGCTAACCCTACAGGACCCCTTTACTTTAGAGATGCGAGAATGCTGATGGGAGAGAGCAGAGTGTTCCTCACGCAAGGGAAGGCCTCTGCTCCGATGTCTCCTGCGAGGCACCCAGGCACGCTCTTAATGCCGCGGGGCTTTCCCCACCCTGCAGAGCCCGTGCTTTGTTTGCCCAAAACTTCACGCAAGCTTAATCCGTCAAGACTCATCCAATCCATCAAGTGCCTGACTTGGGAGAATCGAGTGCATTCGCTGCCTCTAGCAGAGCCCTCTTCAGCCTGGAGCCTTTCAGATGCGTTGGGCTACACCTCCCAGCGTGAGAAGCACGAGCTGGGCTAAGTGCAGCAAATAGCATTGAGAGGAAGGAGGGTGTGGGGAGAAGTGGGAAAACTAATTAGACCTGCCACAACCCGGAATGCCTCCTCAAAGCGGGAAAGCAAGCTGTCATTCAAGTTCCGAAAAAAGCTGTTTATTCATCGGATTCAAGCTTTGAGCAATGGGGAGTTTAATGGAAAAAATGCAGGCTGTGTTTTCAACACAGCATGTGCATGCACACTAATGGGGGGGGGATGTGCACAGGCTTCTGCGGAGAGATTTCACTCAGATCGGCTTCCAGCCTGGAAGCAACCCATCTCCTTGGGCTGGCAGCCACTCAGTCCTCTTGAGAATCCTCCAGTGCTGTGGATTTTCCTGGCCCAGGCAACGAGTTCTTTGTCCCCCTCCCATGCACACACACTCCCAAACACATTAACTTCATCAGTTCCTTCAGCTTAACCAAGGCGTAAAGTCCTTAAAGCCCCCGAATCTCTCTCACTCTACTCAGGAGTTAAACAGGAACGTAAGGAACATTGATTGGCCTCTGACATTCAAGCAAGACTGTGCAAGACCTACAACCAAATAATATTCTCATCATCTAACAGGAGTTCTCCTGTTCAGGGTTCCAGCCAGCCTCACCTGAAAGAGGCTGCTCCATTTCTCACCTCTGACCCGTTTTCCACTTCTGAATGAAACCAACACTGCATGGCTACTGAGCATACTCAGTCCACACTGACCTGTTTATGGGTCTGACCTTCACCTTGAGAAGGAGCTTTTAAAAATACCAATTTTTGTTACTTCTACAAACCCCAGAGCTTCCAGCAAGCACATGAATACCTCCCCTCTTGTTTTACCCTAATTTTGATTGAAATCTATTTTCATTCTAGTTTTAATTTTATTTCAGTTGGTACTTGCCACCTGAGTTTTAATTGAGTGATGCAGTAAGAGATTCCCAGAGGATGATAAAGGGATCAGAACTAAGCATCTGACTCACATTGTTCTTGGCGTTGGGTTTCATGCCAATGGTGCCAAATATTTCCTCTCCTGTCTTCACTGTCAGGTAGTCTTCCATGTAAAAGACCGTCTGCTTCCAGTGGGTGTAGGGAGATTCAGGGCCTGGGAAACAACAGCAAGGAGAGATCACTGAGAAGGCGTATCTTGGAGAAAAGGAGACCGACTCCTACACACATCCTCTACTGCAGCCTTTTTCAACTTGGCGCTCTGCAAATGCTTTGGGCATCAATTCATATCAAGCCTCAGGCAAGCAATGAAAAGCATCAGGAACACCAGAAGTTGTTATCCAGAACTGCTGGAGGGCGCCAACTTAGAGAAGTCTGCCTTTATGGTCAGTTGGTTTTTATTTACCATAGGCTCCCTGCCCCACCCCCCCACCCTTGCCTTCAAGCTATCAGCTGGGCGTTTCAACATCAGGCTCACTGAAAACTAGAACTCCTGGGCTGGGAGAAAGCCCTGCCTAGAATACCTCCTGGCTGAAACTAAACTACCCGCCTGCCAGCAATAACACATTCTTCTCAGAAGCACTGGCTGCTTATTAACTAGCTAACTCTTAGGCCCGCTAATTTCACTGCTGCCAAGTTCCACTGCCTGTTAAGATGCAACCATTAACTTCCACCCTTCCCAGAATACTAAACCAATGCACAAAACCAAAGCTGCCCCCTGCCAATTTCCCAAACCAAGGCTGTGCCACTTACTGGTGGAGAATCCAGTGCGCTTGTGGCAACGGGTGAACTCTATATTGAAATAGGCAACCAAGGCATGGATGTAGTCATTGCGTTTCACTTGGAGACAGAAGGGTGATGTGAAGGTGAGGTCCTCCACCTTCACTGTGTAGATGTCCACCTCCTGTGAGCCATGGGTAGGGAGGAAACATTGCAGGTAAAAGGCAGGAAGAAATCAGATCAAGGGCACATGCACACACGCATGCAACGATCAGCACTCCTCAACAGCCCAACATTACAGGTTAAAAATCTTTGAGTGGCCAGTTTTTCATACACACGAAGCTGAGAGTATTCTGCATGCATGAAGCTGGCATGCCACTCATAGCATGTGTCTGGAGGCAGCTACACCGGGTTCGAAAAAGTTTCCAGAGGAAAGGCGGAGAAACTTCCATTACTGGCTTCCTACAGCTTTACAAGGCAGGAGGGCTGTACATTTTGTTGGCCCTTGCTTGATGTATCTATTTCCACCCACCTCCTCCCAAGTTTATGGCAAGGCTGCGTGTTGTCCTGCCTGTGGAAACCATGTATGCATGGACTACCTGCCCACTGCTACGATTAGCATATGAAATCCTGACCAAGTCAAGCACATGTGCATCACCAAAAAAACTCCTCCCGAGCAAGAAGCTCACGCGAAGACGGCAGACCACGTGTGACAGCAGCAGGCGAATTCCAGGCCGCATCCTCATCACAATCAAACTTCGTGAGATTAGGAAAAAGCTTTGCTTCCCTTCACCCGCTTTCCCATTTCTCTAAATGTGGGATGTACTTGTAAATACTGCGGGGACTGGCGCTGTTTCTGGTAAGTGCTGTGCAACATTCACCATGCTATTCAATCAAGTGTGAATCGATCTGTGATCACGAAAGCCAGGCTTGGTCTAGAGAATGCTTCCACTTAGCACACTGTGAACTCTTTTGATGATAGACACAGCAATACCTCAGCCAACAGGGTGCAGAAGTGAACTTCCTCCAAGCGTCAGGGTCCCTGAATGTCCAGAGTGGGCAACTTTTACCCTCCAAAAGTTGTTGGTTTGCATCTCCCCTCATTTCTCGCCATTAGCTAAGGCTGACAGGAGGGGCAGTCCAACAACATCCGGAGAGCCACGTGCCTCTGCTGCACTTTCCACCACATGGGCCCATCTGTTGTACATTATACCCTCCAGGAGACAGGAAGGCACCCTGCAAGCACAGCATGACGAATGGAAAGGCGGCTTTCTTGCTCGATACGGTGCTCAGCAGCAGCAGTAACCAAGGTGGGTCATGGGGCAGCCAGGCAGAGTAGTGCAGTCAGTCACACCTACCTTGATGAGGCAGGCATTGGTGACCAACTGCTTTGGGTCAACGACATCCACCAAAGGTTCTTTGATTGCTACGTCTTTAATGCATGACATGTCAAAGCCGTACACATTCTCCCACCCTGCAAGGAAGAGAAGCCAGGGAAGTCAGACCCTGGAAGACCCTAACCCATGAAAGATAGGAACACCCAAAGAGAAGCAGATACAACTCCATTCCCCCGCAGGACTGGGCTAGGACCCTCATGCTCAAGCTTTCTGCAGTCATTTGTCTATTCAGCACCCCCCGCACATTTGCACTGCAGAAAGTCCTCGGAGCATTTTGTTCATGCAGAGCAAAGCAGACCTGGTGGCACCCCAGGGGAACTGAGAATATGCTCCACACCCTGGTTGCTGGCAGGCTGTCTTTTGAAGAAGCTAGGTGGCCAGGATTCATCTTCTCCTGAAAAACTTCCACTACATCTCAGGTTTCATCAGCAGAGAGAAATGCTCACTCTAAACAAAAGTTCAGACACCAGCGGTATCTTTAATGTTCCAATACTGACATTCCCCCATGCCATTTCTTATTGTCTGGAGATACTTGAGTCAGGTCTCCCTACTTGCAAACCACTATGGTGTCCCTGCCACTTACAGTGGATCTTGTAGTCTTTGTACTGCCGGTCTTCAATAGCTGTGATGTACAGCGTAGCACGGTCCGGAAATATGAGTCCATCGGGGGTCTGGGAGAAAAGGGAGGCAGAAGGAACGGGTTAAGCCCCACAGCACTTTATTTATTTATTTAATAAAATGTGTATGCCGCCCACTTACAACCTTTCCCTTCCTGTGGAAACTAAGTTTTCATGATGAACTACAAGACAGGTATGGGGGCAACAAAGGCATGTTTCAATTCAAACACCCCTTGATTTGAACTGGATAAACTGAAAGTAAGGTACCAATCCACTTTCAATCATCATGTTGCATTGTTTAAATTTCAGCCACAATCGGAAAAAAGTTACTATATTTGAAAGGCTTGTACACTGATACTTTACAGTTACTTTCAAATCACACAGTTTAATTTAATTGTACTCTTTCTGGCACCATGTCATGAACTTATTTGCCCTTATTTTTTGTTTCAGTTTGTTGTAAATCATATACTGTATTTTAAATCTTTGTACTGCTGCAAGGTCTTACTCCGGCCTTTATTTCTATTGCATACTGTAGTTTTTAATATTCTAAATTATGTAATCAAGAAATACTCTGTGCTATGACCTTCATGAAGGCTGATCCTAGAGTGCAGCATACATGCCTCCTTTAATAAAAGGCAACTTGCCTTTGCTAGTCATCTCTGAAGGGGTGCTGCAGTATTTCTAGATTAATCCCAAAGTCAGAGCATCCCAACAGGAAGTATTTTTTGTAAATCTTCATTGCAACTGTCCTGTCCACTGGGAAGGGGGGCATTCCATTCCCCCTCATGCCTAGGAAGTCTTTAAATTTGCCTTCTAGAAATGAATCTAAACTCCAATCTAATCCAGCAACCAGTTTCTAAAGTAGCTAATGGCCAGTGATAAACCTCTGGCGCTTCATGAAGCACAGGTTTAAGAGCTCCACAAGGAAGAGCTCTTTGAAAAGTTGTGTGGAATACAGCAGGGACAGAAACTGTTTTTGTTGGGGGTCTCATTCCCTCGGGGGTAATCTGTCAAATACCACATGTCAATGACCAATGGGGAAAGAGCAAAAAGTGGATGGGACCAACCCTTCTCTCTCACTCTGCCACCCCATTTTTCCTGTCCTTCTCCCCACCCAGGAGGGAGCTGGAGGGAGACAGACAGAACTTCTCTCCAATGTCTGAACTAGTCCCTTGCCCAGGTTAGGCTGAGGAAGGGAAGTTCCATGCTCCTGAAATACAAGATGTCCCACTGGTCCATCTATAAAGGAAGCAGCATCAGGCTGGAGTTTCAGAAAGAATGCGCGCGGTCTTGGCCCAGGTGATCCAGGAATTCCATGGGGCAAGCTCATGCTCTCAAAGGCTCTTTGATCCTAGGCAGCAGCAGCACTTTCCTGACACTGCGGGGCACCCCAAAATTACAAGAGGAAAGATATGCTGGGCCTCTTCGTTGACAGCATGTGTGGAGAAGGAAAGCTAGAGACCGTGGATTAGAGTCAGGCTGGAGGAATACGGAGGGGGGTAGATGAACGATGGCAACTCACCAACCACTTGTCTCGGGCGTAGATGACAGTATTGAGCATGGATTCATAGAAGAGGCAGTAGCCCATCCACTCACTGATGATTATATCAACCTTCTCCACAGGCAGCTCCACTTCCTCCACTTTGCCCTTGATGATGGACACCACTTTAAGGGAGGAAGAAACAACAGCAACAACAACATAGGATGGCACAGAAGGAAGGTGCACGACAGCTTAGGAAGCATAACTCTTAAAAGCAATTCAGCAAAACAGCAAAAACAGAAACGAAAGGCCTACAAGATGCTCTCAGCCATGGCCTGAGTGAACCTGCCCAGTGCAAGAATTACGGACTGCAGTCATCAGTACACAAAGCAAGACGGGAACGGATTCAGTTTACGATTCGAAATTCAACACAGGTGAGGGAACACACAGGAAGCAGGGGTGCTAAACTCAGCCACATGCGCTGGGGCTGGGTTTCCATAGAGGACGAGGATGAAAAGGTGGTGTTGGAGGCTTCATAGAAGCTCCAAGGAAAGGACAGGGGAAAGCAGCAGCAAAAGACTGTTCTGGGAGAAACGTGCCAGTATTAAGGGACAGCAAGGGAGGAATGACGCCAGTGCAGAAGAACTTTGACTGGCTAATGTGCAGCAAGGCCAGAGAGTTTTTAAAGGTAAGCATGAGGTCTGCGTTGCAGCGGAAGGGAAGCCAGTGTAAGTTTTAAGGAGGGCATGATGTCCGTGTGATGAGGGGATGAGAACTTTGAAAACTTGAGTTCAGAAAGAGATGAGGGGGCCGAAGTGCAAGAGAGACGGATGGAAGGGCGAAGGTTGCAGTTGTGACAAGATGAGGAATGGCCCAAGCATGAGTCATAGTCTCTGAGGGAGTGGAGGAAAACTGCATCTCGAGTCTTCCCTTACAAAATTAAAATGCAGTCCCCCACCCTCAGACAACCGCCTACATTATTAACTACATTACCACTTCTGCATTTAAGAGGCAGATGAAAAGGAAGATGAAAAAGGGAGGGCTCAATGTAGAGGACAACCTCGAGGACACCCTAATACTGGCCAGAAATGTGCAAGGGCCTGTGGCTGCACATTTCACAGCACACCTTGCATTAAAGGGAGAAAACTGGAGTGGAGGAAAACTGCATCTCGAGTCTTCCCTTACAAAATTAAAATGCAGTCCCCCACCCTCAGACAACCGCCTACATTATTAACTACATTACCACTTCTGCATTTAAGAGGCAGATGAAAAGGAAGATGAAAAAGGGAGGGCTCAATGTAGAGGACAACCTCGAGGACACCCTAATACTGGCCAGAAATGTGCAAGGGCCTGTGGCTGCACATTTCACAGCACACCTTGCATTAAAGGGAGAAAACTAGGGAGGGATCCAAGGATGCTAACAGAGAGCAGTCAGATTTCACCCAACAGGGCACTGGCTTCTGCTTAAACTTGAGTGGCCCAGGTAAACGAAGCAAACGTTCAGAGCTGAAAAACAAAGCAATTACTCACCATGGTCGAGTTTGTTGGCTTTGACAATTTTGACAGCATAGTCAGAGATACTGGAGCACTCAATCTGTTAAGAGGGTAGTTGGAAAGAAGGGCAGCAGGCAGGGAGGAAGGGGCATGGGAGAGAAAGAGTGGGGAGAGATCTTACATGTCAATGAATCACATGGAAGAAAAAGTATTTCTCCTTCCTTTTCCTGCTCACCCAGCAATCATTAGCTCCCACTTTTTCAGAGGAATATGGAAAAGAGGTGGAATATGTGAGAAGCGCCCGTGCACACACACAACCATTTCTAATCCTCACAGCTGTGCAAGAAACGTGTTACGAGTTCTGCTGGAGAGTTAAAGGCCCCATTTACCTCCCCCTGTTGCACAGGCACTCAGAGGGTTCATAAAGGAACGCTGGTTTTCTTACTGGAGGATTTGGAACTAGGTTTAGTCCAGACCTCCAGACGCTCATGCCTGCACTGCTTAGCACAGCAGTCGCTTTCACAGAATGAGCCGGACAATGGAGGCTGGCCTGCTTACAGCTGCCTCTCACTCACCCCAATGACTTTCTTGGCTCCAGCCTTGGCTGCAAACATGCAGAGGATTCCAGTCCCACTGCCAACGTCCAGGACCACTTTGTCTTTGAAGAGGTGTCGGTTGTGAAACATGGAATTTCTGTAGGTCAGCGTACGCACTTCATCCTTCAGCATTTCCTACATGTGGTGAGAAGACGATGAGGATGCGTGTCAGTGAGCCTTTCCTAAGTACATTTTACATCCCCAAAGAATGATTCATTTTCCATGGAAGTGTTTTAGGACCCACACCCCCGCTGACTATCACCTCATGAATCCCGAAGTGGGCGTAAGAATCAAAATAGTAATCCTTGGAGGTCATCTCCTCTGCCGTTGGCTTGCCGCTGCTTTCCGGCTGGGTGCACGAAACCTGGCAGAAGACAAAGGTAGTTACAATGGGACGGGCCCATTCACCTCAAGGCCTCACTTCAACTTGCAAAGGCAACAGAAGGGGAGCGATGTAACTGCTCCTTTTCAATCCCTGCCCACATTCTGAAGACCTTCAGCTGAAGATAGGATTGTGTGCTTAAGCCAATGCATGTTTAGACAGAAGGAGGCCTACAATTCCCAACATTCCTCAGCGACCCATCCTGTCTAAACATGCATAGGACTGTGCCCTTTCCCAACCTGGCACCCTCTGGTGGCACTGGACTACAACCCCCATCACCCCCAGCCAATATGTTTCATTTGAAAGCAAAGAACTGCTGTCTTCCAGATGTGTTAGACTATAACTCCCATAATGCCCAGCTAGAATGGGTACTGAAGATGGGAATTCTCAGCCAACACACCTAGAGGGCAGCAGCTTGGGGAAGACTCCAACAGACAACATGGGTGGACAATCTGACTCAGCCAAGAGGTTTATGATTGATATTGCAGCTGTGGCAGAGCTGCTACAGTGAGTTTAGGAACACTTAAATATACACACAACTAAGTTTCATTGGGTTACTATGATCTCAATGAACTGTAGTGAATCCCTTTTGTGCCCACATTGGACCAAATTCTCGCATTTAACTGAAATGACCTGAATGTGCATAACTGTATCTTTTCAAATAAAAAATTCAAATTTCCTTCATCCCAGCACAACACCCTAACCACCAAGCATCATATATTACTGCAATTATAATGCCAATACCAGTTGTGTCCCACTGTAAAGCTGAATATTAAGAGTAGCTCTCTGTCAAAGCTAGCTGCTGAGCAGGAATTTACTGTGTTTTAAGAAGAAATCTGAGAAAACCCTTCTTTTTGTTCTGCCCAGCCACAAATACCTGTTTTTGCTCTTCTGCCTATTCCTAGCTCGGTGGAATGTAATTAGCATAATGGCAATTTGATTGACTTCTTCCTGCAGCTTTCTATATCCGGAGGCCTTGGGTCCCCAATATCACTGTGGGGCTTTAGCCTAGGGCCAAACATTAATCCAAAAACATATCAGAATTGCTTGGATCTAAGAACTGATTTAGAAGCTAAACCCCCACCTCACAAAGGTAAACACCATCATGCATTGAACGCCTCACAAATCACACAAGCACATCTTTCTTTTGCTAGCCAAGCACTTGCCTGCCTTGAGGGATTATCCAAGTTCATTCTTGGCCATAGAGCTTCTTTATGCTCAGACTGAGCTGGGGCTCATTCAGTCTGATTTCATATAGAGGAAACCAGTGAGGAAAAACCTTCCGTGGCTTTTGTTTTTAATTGACCATCTTTGCAGGTGGGTGGGAAATGGTGAAAGAAATGCAGGACACTTTAAAGCAGACTACTCCGTTTCTCGGCAGAAGCAATTTTAAAAACTAGTATGTGGAAGGAATAGAGGTGAAAAGGATCCGAGCCATTTAGTTCCTTTGGGTGTAATCGTATGCATGTTTAGACAGAAAAAAATCTTACAACTTCCAGCATTCCCTAGCCAGGTTTTTTAAAGACCTTTGACAAATTTCTACCCTCCCCAAAATTGAGGCATTGCAAGGAAGGAGACAAAAAGGATGCTTAAAGAGGGGACAACTTACATTTGCCGTTACTACATTTTATGGCTCCAAACCTGTCCCTCCACCTTCCCCAGCATCAATTTATCTAGGGCCCATACGGTTCAGCTCCCTTGTTCAATACAAAAAAGTGGGGGGGGACATAATCATAACACATGACTGCAGCAATTACAACCTCCAAACAGGAGATATAACTCATTCACAAAAGTGTCCTGTTCAGCTATTTGTGAAGTGGGGGTCTTTGTGCCTGAAAGCAAGGCTGCAACCTGCTGCTTTTCAACTATCAGGCCTTCCAAGCAAGACTGTTTCAACAAGGCACAGAGCTGCTCCCAGAACAGAGACCTCAGTTTATGGGAGGAAGGTTCACAGTGGCCAGGCCTAATAGGTACACACAAGAAGCCCACCCTACAATTTAAATAGCATTGTTTTCCTGCCCCCAAAAGTTGCTAGCCTGAAAAACAAATGCTGATCTGCTGGGGCTGGCACAGGAGGAACAACACTGAATTTCTATGCTGGGCACAGAGGGAGACTGCATCCCTTCTTTTGCTACCAGCCTGCTCGTTTGCCTACAAGCTGTTGTTCTTCGTCACTTATGGCAACCGGGCTGCTTTACAGCATTGTTGTTATTGTTGCAAGGCTGCTTTACAGCGTTGTGATTCGGGTCAGCAAGATGCCTGTGCGATGTCCTAGTGAACCGCAAACACACAGGGTTACTGCCTCTGGGTTGAAAAGAAGCAAATCCTAGGCTCCAGCTGCATGGGAAGCCCTAGGGAGAGAGCAGGCTTGCTAACTGTCAGCTTGCCTTCTTAGCGGAGCATGTCGCACCTTACATGGGAAGAAAAGGCCCTCAAACAAAGCAAGCAGTTCGACTCAGCAACAGACCTTGAAAAATCCTGCACCAATGATGATAGGCAGAGCTATCAAACTGACACTGATGTTTATGAAGCATGGGCCACCTAAAAAGACACACTGAGTTGCCCCCCACTAGAGAGTCCTGCTGGACTATTGAGTAGTGGAATATAAATTTAACAACATAAATTAAAATAAAATAAGCATCTACAGAGTATTCTAGTTCTGATCACCAGATTTGCCACAGCAGTTCTCAGATTTCTGGGGGGGGGGGGGGGGAAGCCTCAATGAGAAGTTCCAAAACTGTGATACCTAACCCTGAAATATAGGAAGACAATGAAAGGTGAACACTTATGATGTCATGAACATCAGAACCAGGAAAAATTATTCAAATAGTTACAGGAGCAGGGATATCCAATCAATTGCAATCAACATCATAGAATTTTGTGGCACTTTTAAAGTTTTCAGCCTTTGCTAACCTGGAACCCATTTTTAATCCCAGTCATTAATACAAGGCACACTTTTAGGTTTTTAACTGTATGGCTTCCTAGATGTTCCTAGATGTCACAACTGGTTAGGCAGCCTAGAGAAAGTTAAGGAAAGTTATAGGCCCACTCCTGTTCAAGGTTGACCAAACACAAAAGAGCATAGGACTTCTGTACATATAACTGTTCTGAAAGGAAAAGGAGATCTGGAATGAGTCTGAGACTGCAGGTCAGCACACGCTGCCTTCATCCATGGTTCGGGCATGAAGGACCCCTAGGAAATGACATCACTTGTGATTTCGGAAACGGTTCCACCGTAAGAGGAAAGCTGCCCTGCCTCAGTGATGACAGCAAGAGCTAGGCTCTGCACCTCGTCTTCAGCTAGATTAGAACAGCTTCAAGGAGTTTGCACTCCTCACAGTCCTGGGATTGCAGAAATGAAGGGAAGCACACTCTTGCCTCACCACTGGATGGCTAAGAGTCATTGGGAGGCTATCTGCTCTGCTTCTCCAGAACAACGTCACAGCAAGAGAACCACCGGCCTGGCTTCTGCCAGCAGTGAGAGAAGGAACAGCTGCCCGTAGTTTCCTTCTCACTCAAAGAGTGCACATACAATATGTGGCAATGTTTTCAGTAAAACAAGAACACAAGACAATCTGCTTTAAACCACCTTGAGCATCAGCTGAAGACCAATGACTCTGAGGCACGGTTCCACCCCTCATGCTCTCAAGATTTGTCAGACTACAACTTGCAGCATCTACAGCCAGCATGGTGAGAGTCAAGGAGTTTATCTCACCACAGCTGCAAAGGACCTGGCAGAGGAAGGCTGAAGTTCCAATCATGGAACTGCCTCCCTAATGAGGCCAGATTGTCCCCAATCCTTGCCTTGCTTCAGGTGGGCTATAAAGGCAATTTAATTTCAGCTGATTTTTAATAGGTTTTAAAGTTTTATTCAGTACCTAGGATATTTTAAATTTGGCTTGTTCTGTTCTTAATTCTGGACAGTTTTGTGCTTGAATATTGTAATATGGGCACCCTTTTGAAAAGCTATCATCAGCAACAGCACCATTACCACCCCAGAAAGAAAACTCCCTGGGTTGTTTACCCCAATGCATAAAATACAGTACAAATACAATAAAAACAGTGTTAAATTAGTTTTAACTAGCTTAACATACAGTTTAAAAAAACCCAGCAAAGAAGAAAAATCACCCTTCAGGCCCCTGGATAACCAAGACCTTTAAAGGCCTCTGCATAGAGGGTTGTCTTGAATTGGTACTGAAAATATGGTAAATCTGGTACCAGGCAGGGGGTTGTTTCAAATATGGGGGGGCACATCATAGAAAAGGCCTTCCCCCTTATTGTCTTGCTCCAAGCCTCCTGTGGGGTAGGTAGGTAGAAAGATATTTTAAACATTAATAAAATGCAAGCCGATATATTGATGCATAAGCTTTCATAGAACAGAAAATGTGTAAGGAATAGTTCATGAAAGCTTATGCCATAGCAAATCCATTTTTCTTGGTGACAAAGTACCCTGCTGAATTTTTAGAAGGCAAGCCTGTTCAGAGATGAACACAGTTAATTTTTTAAGAAATAAGGTTACGTGTGCATGAATGACCAGGCAGACATTTGTTTAAATCTTCTGCCACAGATGAACATGGGAATTAAAGCTACAGCTCCACTTCGGGGCAGGGGAATGTGCTCTGACTTGCCACTGCAGCCTTCTTAGCTGCATAGTATCTACGGCCCCAGTGCATTCTCCTCTGTCCACCCAACCCTCTAGGGGCAGCCTTTTCATCCTCACTCACTTCCAGGAGCAGGTGGCTGGCTGCACTGGTACAGGCCTACCTCCTGAGCTGCTCTAGTCCCTGACTGTCCCCAGGTATGGGGAGCTGCAACGTAAGTTAAGGAAACAGTGAGCTGGGCACCCACACTGTAACAAACCCTTACCCCAAGACCCAAAGTCACCCAATCCCCTATCCAGCCCCGCCAAGCAGATCTTTCAGGGCACACTCCTCCGGTATTCATTCCAGCACATGTGCATTAAAGCTAGGACCTTTTTTTTTTTTTTTTAATGAAGACATTAAAGCAGAAAGAATATGGATTTCTGTGCTATAACCATTCCTCATTTCCCAACTCTTCAATAAGAAAATAAGCTCCAGGATGGCTTTGAACTGGATATATCTGTTTTATAATTCTTAATTCAAACTGCAGCTTTTGGGACAGGCAGGAGCATTGTTGTGTTAACTCTGGAAATGTGTGGTGGGAACAGAAGCTCACAAATATTGGAGGAGCAACAGGCATGCAGAAGGAGCCATGGACAAAGATAAACAAGAGGGCTGAGTGCCATGGAACTTCGTGTCTGGCCAGCACTGAAAATCCCCAACTAGGTCCTTCCCCTTCTCCCTCACCTCCCCAAAATGTCTGAGCCTTCATCCAAAACTGCATTCACACGCAGTGTTTTCCTATGAGAGTGAGACTATAAATATGAAAAAGATGCTTCATGGTACTCTAAAACAAGCACGCCCACTCCCAAAGTAAGGGCACTTGCTGGTGGGGCACTCTCTACCGCCACTTTTGGCTCCCGCACCCTCATGCTTGCTGGCTGTGTCCATTACTAGCTGTCACATTTTCATATAGGTTACAAAACTGTCAGCAGGATTGGGAAATGTACAGAAATGTCATGATGATGCAGTAATTCAAAGGGAAAAGTGAAGAAATGTGAATTACAACTGCCCTAACTCCTATGTACTTCCATTTAAAGAAGGGGGGGGGGGGGGGAGAGAAAGGGGAAGGAGAAAACTTGAATACATTTGGAACACACACCTGTGTCCTTTCTTCACAAGGTTTTGAAAGCATGGGATGGAAGGTGTTGTGAAGGGATAATGTAGGATGTTGGCAGCATAGAGTATGACACAGATTGTTGCCATTCCCAGCAATCCACCATAAAAGCATCCTGCTGGATTGGGATAACACAACAGGCCACAATGCATATGAGCAATTCTAAAGCAATCCATGAGTTCTCATCAAAAATAACCCAACCTGCAGAAATCAGGCTGGGTTCCATCACACAACAACTCACCCTGGCGGATGGGTTGTCATGTCACATGAACCAGCTTAGAGAGTCCTAAATTAACTGGATCAAAGGAAAGCAGGTTCCACTGAGGGCACAAGCACAAGGTCGCAGTCACAGCAGATTGAACAATCTGAAGCAAACAACTTAATACTCTCAGCCAGTGTGAATTAGGAATATCCCTTGCACAAATGAATTACTTTCAAGGACCTTATCCTTTTTCATCTTGCACTGTTTAACTACACAAACTGAAAGGGTTATGAGAATTAGATGAAATGTCCCAAAAGATGTATGGAAATAAGCCGGAACAGGCAGAATTTAAATAGGTAATGTGGAGGTATTCTTGAGAGCAGATAAGAGATCAAAATATGTTATCATCTATGTTTACAATTCATAGGAATAGTGGTAGGTTATTCCTAGCAGCTTTGAAGGGAAATACTTCAATAAGTAAGTTGCCTACAAAAGCAGGAGGGGAGCAACTATGGAGACTGATCTACCAAAGGAAAAATGTAAGGGAAAGAGGAAGGGCTGCTAGATGATAGACCACCAAGCCAGCAACACTGTAAGGAAAGCAGATTTGGATGGGGCTACTGGGCTTCACCCACAACCAGGGTTGGGCACTAGTCAAGTGCTCATGAAATCAAAGGATATTTACATCTTCTAGCGGAGTCTGCAGGCTCATCCCATTAGCCAGCGTGGTTACAAAATTCTAGGAGAGAGAGAGTAACAAGGGAAATAAGGTCAATTCAGTGCTCAACGGGAACTGAGCCGGAGACTGGATCTTGTTAACTGTGGGGGTAAGGGGGACAGAAGAGGTGGCAAGATGTGGCCAAGGATACAGAGACAAGTCTGAGTGTGGGTGGAAGCGTCAAAAGGCAGATCCAGCTACACTGCTGCCCCAGTGTCGAGAAAGACCAAGTTTCCTTCCAGAGAATGGTACCAGGTCTCAGGATTGCCATGGCAACACAGACAGTTACAAGGCATAGAAAGGTAGTCTTCATTAGCAGCTCGCCTATTGTAGAAAGAGACCCCCCCTCCTCAAATAACGCATGCACCTTCTACTATGGCAATGTCACCAACATGACAATTGCACTGCACAGAACAAGGTCGCCTCCAATTTAAAAAAAAGGCCTCTTATGGGATTATCACAATCCCATGCCAAGAATAGAAAAATAAAGTCAGCTGAAATACCATCAACATTGCTAGGCCAGGCTATAAAGGGCTCTCTTGGATTGCTTTGTTGTGTGACAACTCCCTCAGTCAAGCAATTCCTGATAAAGGGTTTGGTGTAGAACCAAGATGTTCTGGAACACTATTTCCTACCATAAGGCACTGGTAAGCAAGGTCTTATGATCATGCTAAGAACTACTATTTAAAGTAATGAAGGTGAAACTGAATGGCAAAAAAGGTTGTGCTAACTATTTAAGTTACAGAGAATACAGCCACAAAGTAACAGGAGTTTGATATTCCACACACTCATGTCGGACCACTCCTGCCCTCAGTCCTCACTACTCTTGCCATTCAATTTCACTATTTCCAGTAGTAATTTCTGAGATGTCTAATACTCTCATAGGACTTAAAATACCATTCTGATGTATTTCTAGCCCACAGATATACAGAACTAACAGCACAAGCACCCAGCACCACCAACCCCACCAGAACTCTTAAGAGGTTATCAGTGCAGCCTCCGCCTTATCTAGCTTAATGCAAGTTGTTACCCTGTACCAGACAAGGGCTTCTCTCTGTCTTAAGCAGGCCTGAAGCAAAGGCATAACAGCGTTGACTTTCTAAACAGGGCAACAACAAGGCAACTTCTTTACAAAATTCCTAGGAGGATGTTTTAGCCTTCTCCAATCTGATGTCTTCCAGATGTTTTGGTCTACAACCTTCTTCAGTGCAACATGGTTACGAATGTTAAGAATGTAAGTCCAAAAGTTCTGGAGGACACCATGCTGGCCAAGGTTGTTTAAGAGCACCGATCCTCGGCAAACTGTCCCTTACGGTATCTAAAACTTTAAAAGCCAAAGGAAAGGAGTAAGCCCACCCATCTCAAGCCATTAAGCCTCACTCCCTTTCCAGTGGAAAAGACTGGAGAGGAGACTTCTCGAAGACCTGTCCTAAGACAAGATGCTCCTTCAAATGCGTGAAATGGGTGAAAGATACACCAATTTCCTGTCCCCCTGCTCAGCTTCAGATCTTTCCCTCCCCCAGTGGAAAGTCAAGCAGCTTCCTCTCCAAATTCAATTCAACCCCTGGTTCTAATTCAGATCTTTCATTTCCTGCTCACAGCACTTCTTCAGATTTAACCCCTCCTGAAGCTTGTATGCTGAAACTATTGAACTTCCCCAGTTCTGTCTCTCCTACACTTCCCTTCCTCAAGTTCTTCATAACCTACCAACCACACTATCTACATTTTGAAAGCTTTTCCTGACAATCATTCTTAGAAGATCCAAGGATTTCCAGTATAATTAATTCCCCCCACAATATTGCTATCCTTCCTCTTCTACCTCCTTACCCAGGCTAAAAGCACAAGGCTACTCCTCCTACAATTGAATTTAACTAGCTTCACATGCACCTTTCAAGAAAGTACATACAATCTGTATGGCTATGGGGTGTCTCCCTCAGCCAAACAACCCCCCCAAAAGCACCACAGCCCCCTTATCACCAGGGCACAATGGGCCCACCAAGGCAAAGGGACAACCTCTTTTAAAAATTCGGTGGTGTTCAAACACAGTGCTAAAAACACTCCAAGGTCTAGCCTAAAATTGAATTTAACCGGAGAATTTATTGGGACTGGCAAAGACTATACCAGATGAGACATATAATCCAAAAACCATGGGGACAGAGTGAGTATGCAGCCGTCCTCACAGGGTTGAGGGCTTAAGGGTGCTACTTGACAAAAGCATTTTGGCGAACACGGGGATTTAACAAATGGCTTCGAATCATTGAAGGAAGGATCTTTGGGGTCTGCAAAGGAATTTTACAAAGGCCGGAAGGAGGCCGAATTTCCATGAGCTCCAGGGCTCCAGCAGGTCCATGATGCCTCCATATTACTGGGAAACAATACCCCAGAAGGTCCAAAGGATCCGAGAAAGCTGGGGAAACATATAGTATCAAAAGGGCAGGATCCTCCTTGGAGAAAGAGCTCAGCTGGGCCGGTGGCATTCTTATGGGGGGGGAGGCGGCTGCACAGAGTGGGTGGGGAGGTGACGGGGAGCCGGGGATATCAGCGGGGCAGGGACCCTGCAAGGACCACAGGAGAGTGAGGAGCGGGTTCCACCTGGGGTGTGCGTGTGAAAGAAAGGATCTATGGGGCCGGCATCCTCCTCCAAGGCTGGCGGGGCGGGGCGGAGCTCCACGGGCCTCCCGCTGGGCCAAACGGGGGCGGAGCCCGGTGGGGGCAAGGCGTGCCATGCGGCTACCATGAGGAGGAAAGGAATCCGATTATTTGAGGAGAAGGTGCGGGCCTTTAGGGGGAAGCGGGCATGGGTGCGAGTGCACGACCGAGTGCCGTGGAGGGAAAGCCAACAGGGCAGCCTACTGAATATTAATGCTACAGAAGCCTCCACCACCGACGCGCATACACAAACCCTGCTCAGCCTCATCCCCACATTCATAGCTACTGGGGCGGGAGGGTCCCTTCTATCAATTACACCCTGTAGGAGTAAAAATGATGTGGGGACCGGGAAAGAATATGGGCTAGAAAGAAACTTAGTGCCTACAGCGAAGGACGGGGAGACGGTGGTGGCAGCAAATTATTCCAAGTGGGGGGGAAAGGAAATTAATGGGAAGAGGTAGCGGGGGGGGGGGGGGGAGGCTGGGAGGGTCAGTCACTTGTGGGGTGGGGGGACGGCCAGACGCCATAGGCCCCCTTAAAGCAGTGCGGGGTTAATGGGAGGGAGTCTTAGGAAAGCAACCTCGTGATTTAATGGAGGGACTTTGCGGACCAGCGTATAGGGGGCACTAGGCT